TCTGGATTTATTTTAGGTTTTGGAAAGAGAATAAATCATACTTCCCCTATCAATCATATCTTGGAAAAATACAGCAGAAGAAAGCTAGAAAACGACTCTTTTTGCATTAGAGCGCATCCATGAAAGTGTTGGACCACAGTTAGAGTGAGTCCTATACTGCGCTGTGATTGGCCTGCTGTGTATTTGGGGCATGGCTTAGCGGAGGGTCAATTGTCCCCTGCTACCTGAATATTGTTTCCCTTTATATAGATAAAGACATTTCCACCATAAATTGGTGCAGAAATTTTCACCAGAATGCAGGAAATTAAGTCTTTTCTGGGGAGGACCCCCAGACTCTCCTCTTTATTTTTGTCCCCTCCACCGTTGAAAATAATGGGGGTCGCCAATTAAAAATCTTGCCTAGGCTCCAACATTGTGCATCTTAAACTACCTCTTTGCCCACCAATGTACCAAGTGCCAGCTTTTCTCCCTTGTTGGAGACCTAAAATTCGCTATCCAAATCATCCCACAAGGCCAATCCTTCCTCTCCCACTTACTGTCCCTCACCACTGCAGTTCTGTCCCTTTGTGATCATGCTGTACTGGCCGACGATTCTAAAATGGAGCTGAGATTGTGGCACAACTTCCTTTCTTATTGGAACAGCATCTCTTTCTTTTATGATGACCACATAACCGAACCTGAATTGCAAATTTGGTGAAATGTTGTGGCGAAATGTTGTGGTGTTGCTCCACCTGCTCCTTTCATCACTCACCCCCACGTCCTCATGCTAATCAAAAGTCTTCAAAAAACAAAACCTCAGCTCACTCCAAAACCATTACCCCTGACATCGGACCTCCTCGCTTGTTGCATCCAAGATCTCTGCGCAGGATACTTATCTCCCTCTGTCGATTCAACCCTCAAAGCCATGTTTCTCCTTGCATTCTTTGGTTTCTTGCTCGGAATTCTATCTAAATCTAGTGTAGCTACTAATTATACTACTGTCAGCTGTTTCCCCCACCTTGTGTTGTAGTACTCGATACCGGTCTTAAGATCACTTTTTGATGGTCTTGGTCTCGTCTCGGACTCAACCGCATTTGTACTCGGTCTTGTCTCGGTCTCAGACATTGAGGACTATTATTTCAAAACCATAACTTTGGGAATATCAATAAATTGCTTTTGCATTGTCTGATTTATTTGTTAACATCTTAACTTTGATTGGATGAAAAACATATTGTTTCAAATGCAACCAATAACGCTAAGTAAAAATGTGTTGTTACTGTTAACATCTGTCCCCCCTTTACATAATGGTAAACATGGAAAAGGAGTATTGAATAAAGATGCTTGTGTTGATTTTTTTAGCTCTTAGTGTTTGTATGTGGGTGTTTTAATGGGAATGTGGATCTTTCAGATCAATTTGAGAAGTACGTTTTATCTCGTTCCACATTTTATCGTGGGTGATGTAATGTGGGGCACTGGTGTTGGTCTTGACTCTGTCTCTCCCTCCCTCGGTCTTGGTCTCAACTTGGTCTCAGCCCCTAAAATGGTCTTGGCCCTGTCTCGATAAACTCTAGTCTTGGTCTTGACTTGGTCTCGGTTAGGGTGGTCTTAATTACAACACTACCTCCACCTGCAGCCAAGGGCTCCCAGACCACATCATCAAAATCCTTGGTCCATCCATTGATATTCCCATGCCTACCTTAGCTATGTCCACAACAACCTCAGCGACATTCAAAGAGCCCATCTCCCTTTAGTCCAGTAACTCATTTTGGGGGATGATAAGCAAGCAACTTATCGAGATGAGCCCCCACTCTCAATCCCAACCCCTGGGTTCCTTGCCGCTCCAGCCACCAAAATCCTAAACAACCTCCTTCATTCCTTCTACTCTCGACCCCTCCTTCATAAATACTTCAAAGGAGGGGTCGAATTCATTGTGTTGAAGGCTGTGTTTGATGATTCAATTCATATTTAAATTAGGGCTCAATCAATTTAACCACAATTGCAATCGTGATGTCACCCTGTGTAATTAAATAACCACAAAAGGTTACGATTTAATTTTTAAAAAAGGTATGCCGTATATGTGACACTCTAGTCTTTGTGTACAAAAGTCGCTTAGTCACATAAATATTGACAGACTTGTTGTCACACTTTCTACAGTACTGCTAAAAACATGCCACCTTATTGAGGCTAACTGGCCCTCGGCCAGCAGACACTGTGGATTCACCCATAAAACAGCAGGGAGAGTAGAACTTGTAACTTTGGCAATGCACGTCCATGAACTGGCGGAGCACTGAATGGAGGGGTGTATTTGTTTGGCAGTTGAGTTCAAATATCAACAATCTTTCCGCAGAATCTCTTTTTATTCCTTTTTGGGCATACGCTGTACGTTTTGAGCCCTTTTCTGACTCTAATTTACTGTGCAGTGTACAAGGGGAAGTAAGGCCCCACCAAGTGCTCCCTGTCAGACATTGGACGGTCAGAAATTTTGGTTGACCGTCGTCAGGGTGTCGCACAGTTGAAGCAGACCCACAAGTCGATTCCCCATGATCAGTGCCTTTTTTCTCACAATCCCTGAACGAAATGGTAAACGCTAGCTATCAAGTTAATCTTTATAGTAAACATAGCTACCCTCCCTCTATTTCTCTCTGCAAAATGGAGAAGCCATACTGTCCGCATCTTCACAGCCACTTTTGGCCTTTCTCATTTCAGTTTGTACCTTCTCGACTACTTGCTTCGCATCTTAGTCCCTCCTACTCAAGATGCGAGAGGAGGTGTTGAGGAGGCAAGGAGAGAGGAGTCGAGGTAAAAGGCATTTAACGAAATGAGATGTCCTTGCCTCGGAACCGTCATTTTAAAGCGAAATCAAAAAAATATGACATTTTGCACAGTTGAATCATCTGTACATTATTTCAGCCTGTTGCTGTGATCTTTGTCAGATGAGCAGACCGGCTGTCAGCAATAATACATAAAGGCTACAGATCATATCTTTACGACCCAGAAACATGTACAGTATGTCAACCTTATGACATGTAGAAACATCTGGAAGTTGCAATAAACATTATATCGTATGTTGAAAACTGTCACAGATTACAGTATCCTACTATCATTCACTACACAGAAATCCAGTAACCTTTTTGGGAGGTGCGCCCTTTGTCTGTAAACAGGAGATTATTTCAGCCCTCATCTTGATGAGATGAGCGTTTAATCATCAGTCCCTGTAAGAAATGACACACAATTATCTGAATACTCATGTAGGCTACGCATAAATCATCCACACGCCCCCTACCAAACTAATTATTTTCTCAGATTTAGACACCAGCACTTGCATGGACATTTTACCCCACCTCCACCGGTCAATTTAGCTTTCCAGGAGTTATTGTGTCTTGTCTTGATGTGTGATGTGATTTACTTTATTAAGCGTATCCATGCGCGCACTATGTCACAGCAAATATCGTGTAACAAAACAAAAAAACGGCAGTAATAAATTTGACAGGACAGACAGAGGAAACTCTCCAGAAGAAGTCTATGAAGATTCTCAGTCATCCAGGTCATAGTTATCCAACGAAGGTTAAATGAAGGGCAACTGGACATCACTTTCATCACTTCCCAGGAAACTCAACAAACGTAACCTATTGGCCTCAGGTGAAGATACCAACGATGGTCGTTCAGTCTTGGCCTCAGGTAGTCTTAACGACTGTAACGACTGTCGTCACAGCAACAAGGAACACTAACGAACCAGCGGTATCGATGACCCGGGTTAACGACCCCACTGAGGTTAAATAGCTGAGTTTCCCTGCTAGTCAGTCAGAACTGAAGAAGTTCTTTGGATAAGGGACGAAACGTCTTCCATTAGCTTCAACCAAGTCCAGTTGCCCTTCATTTAACCTTCGTTGGATCTCCAGAAGAAACAGAACTATTAGCTTCCGAAACGTTTCGATGCTTTGAAGGAGCACAGGATTTATCAGGAGGACGGCTGCTTTACTTCAAACAGTTTCACTGTATGAATCTGGACTGTGTGTGAGACCTTTTGGATGTGTTGAAGAAGATTAACATTAGATACTGACTGATCCCGTTGGCGTGTCGGGAGATTTAAATGTTTTATGTAGCATTTATGTTGCTATGCCTCGTGTGTAATTGCGCACAGCATCTCTCTTAATGGGGAAATGCGTCACCCTATTTCACCCAGCCGCAGTGTTCATTTTAAGATCCTACCTGCCCATCTACACATTGCATTCCACATTAACAACATCAGTGAAAGTGAAATGACATTAAGGAATGTGGTTAGAACAGCGCTTAGTGACACGTTACACAAAAGGTTAAGGAAAGAGACTTTGATTGCAACAGGAACACTGTAGCTTTAAAGTCCAGTCACCTGTCACTGGGAGGCATTGACAAACTACCTACTGTGTTGTTTAGGTAGGAGGACAGGTTGGTTTGTCAACACTAAACCACAGAGATGTAGCTTACAGGCAGCTTTCAAGTGGCCTAGAGCATGGTGCTAATTCTGCTAATCCCCCAAATTGTGTTGAAGGCCTTAGTATTTGGTCAAATTAGCCTATTCCAATAGACATCTGATAAACAAATGTTAGTTTGGTGGCGACATCAGAAATAATTATACTAGGTCTAACAAACAGCAATGCTGATGCTTATAGAAGTAGCCTAGTCACTTTGTTCCTTGGTTTTATTCTTATTAATGATGAATTTAGGGTACCTTGCAGAATAGAATTGCACCAAAGAAACAGTTAAAGAATATATTTTTTAAACATTTTGGAGACTTTAATCGTTTTACCTTATTAATCAATATTGAAGTCTGTTGCCATTTATTGACACAGCCTAATAATAAATGAAGCTATGATAACAAATCATAGGCTAATACATCATATCAAGTATCAAGTAGTGAGCGACCATAGCAGCAGCAATACACCGACGCACGTTATGCAAATCAATGTATTTATTCCCCCCAGTCCCATCTCCCCCACTGTTATTTAAACACCTTCACTAAAAAGATGCAGTCAGTCCAAAAAATGTCTCTGGGTTGGGTGGCGTTCCTTCTGTTTGCAGGGTGTAGTGTGGCGCTGGAAAATACGCAGGCCTTGACTGTGTCTCAAGGATGTACGGAGGATACTCACACTCTCCGCTGGGAAAATAACCAGGACATGCCGAAGGAACAAAGTAAGTGTTTCTGACCTTTGAAAAAGGTCTCTACATACTGCATTGCAGGTTTATCTGATTGCTTAGGTACAATTTTTGAAACTATTGGCTATTTTTGCAAAACTCTACACACTAATCGCAAAACCTTTCAACAAAAAAACAAAACACATCAATACAATACATCTCTTGCAAAAGCAAATAATTCTTGAAAGGCTCTTCAAACTCTTTTGAAAATTGTCTTTTTGCAACAATACAGTAGGACTCAAATGTCTTTGAGTAAGCACACGAAGCAGCAAATACACACTCATAGTAAAAATGAAAATCACTTGAGGACACTTTTCTGTGTGTATGGCATTGCTGTTTGCAATAAAGTTTTGTCATGCATGTAGCGCTAAAAAAAACTGTAAATTATGAACTTTTATCTTAAAAGTTTGAATGATTATTCACATAAATTAGTATTTCATTATAGAATAAGAATAAAATATTTTCACTTTAGTGACTGTACTTAAGTATATGTCACAAGAATGAATCAGAAATTTGCTTACAGTTTTTTTTTTATTGCTTTGGTAGGCTACTATTATACTATTATTAGTATGTGATAAAATTTCACAACTCTTAGTACAAAACTCCAAACTCATCAGACTTGTAACACAGCCAGTCGCTCATTCAAACCACACAACGATTGATTCAAATTACAAGTTTCTCATGAAATGTCACGAGAACATATGGTTTAATCACCAAAACACAACATAATGTCATTTAGTCATTTAGTCTATCAGTGAATCTAATAACAAACAATGCAAGATACATGTTTCAAATCACCTTAGAAGTGCTGACAGAAGTATGCTACAGTATACTGTAAAAGACAGATTTTCACATTAAGCAATATATTTACATTATCCAACATTTACAGAATCTATCATTTCCATAATATCTATCCTATTGTACAAGTTGTGATCAATGAAGACATCCTCTACAATCACTGATGCAAGAAACAAACTTTTACTTTATTTTACTCTACTGCAACAGATAGGTTTGTCTATTCAAATGTAACTCTAAGCCTGTCCACAAGCTCTCTGATCAATTCCACTGCCTTGCTGTCTTTGCTGCTCCATGTTGAAAGGACATGAGAAAGTGTCCACATCCCCTTTTACAGTATGTGGTTACCAACTGAGTTTACCACCACGTGAAATTAGCAATGTAATTATGGATGGTAATCATGGAATGTATTTTACAGTACTGTATTGTACATACTGTAATTGTTGCAGTGGTCCTTTGTGGCTCTGTTTGTTACAAAGAGCACTAAGCTACTTGCACTAAGGTTGTAAGTTTCAATCCCAATGATGTCACATTCAGTGAAAATCTCAAACCTAGGGTGGTGACTTTGAATCTGACTATATCAGGCAAATGAAACAGACATGTATATTACTGTAAGCAATTGTTTCAGTGATGATTAATTAGGAACGATGAGCATAATGATAGTAAAAGGTGTTTTAACAACAGAGAAGAAAATCTCAACAAACATTCTGCTTTTACTTTGCATGAACATAATGTATTATGAATGTACTAAGAGTGGTGACATATTACCACATAGTTGTGTGAACAGTTCCATAGCGACAGAAAAAAAACTGTAAATATCCATTACAGTTTTATTTTGTATTTCTTTGAAAATAGGAAAACATAAAATGTACGTAAATATACTGCTACGGTTTTCCAATCATTTCAGTCTGCTGAAATGCAAGACAGTTGCCATAATTAAGTTTTGAATGTGTTTTTAACTGTTTTGAACACAGTGTGTTAGCAAAAAAAATGTGCAGCAAGTATATAGTGTTTTGCAGGTTGTGGAGTAAGAATGAGAAAAGAGTTCATGGATTTTGGAGAAAGTGGTCATTGAATGCATTTTATTTGAAAGCAATGAAAAGTTATTCACAATTTTGCCCAAATACTGTTTCGTTGACTGTGAGAAGATTTTTGATAATGTGACTTCAGTTTTGACCAGTGCATGTCAGCAATTTGGTGGCATTCCCTCTGTTTGCAGGGTGCAGTGTGGAAAATACGCAGGCCTTGAATGTGTCTCAAAGATGTATGAACGATACCAACAGGTTCCTCAGGGAAATTAACCAGGACTGGCCGAAGGAATATGCTGTTTCCAGTAAGTGTTGCTGACCTTTGAAAGGCATTTCTTACTGTGTTACGGTAAGTTGTAAAGTCACTAGATAGAGAGGCCACACTAGCCAACTGTTCACTATAAAACTAAGTGCTAATTTAACTAGAAAGGCCATCTATTAATCATGACTTGTACTGCAATATATCAGTATTTTATCGTCAAAAATAACTACCCATGTCCCACTTACGGGCTTAAATAGGAAGTATATGCTATTAATATCTGTTTGGATTTATAAGTAGGCTTTAGAATCCTTTAAAGAGTCACCAAATCATTATTCTTGAATCAGGGAAGCAAATAAAAACCTATATTGTGCAATCACAACCAATTATAAATATTACATTGTACAGGTTTTATTATATAAATTCAGGCTCTCTTTTTATTCAAAGGAACTATGTTGTGTTCTTTGCAAGTCTAAGTTGCATTGCTGTTTGGTGTGTGTGTGTGTGTGTGTGTGTATTTTCAGTGTATGATGCATTTGGAAAGATGGGTAGCAATGTTGAAGGAGGTAATGTCAACCGGCCTGGCTTGCTGCAGCTGTGTCGCTCTGCCCATGCTCCTACCTTCTCTGGACAGTACTGCCAGGTGTTCCTTAGACAGGTAACCAGAAAATATTTGTTTGTCATCCTGGCAGTTGGTTATAGTTGGTGATTTTGAACAAAGTGTTTTTACTACTGTAGGGAACAGTCCAGTACTTTGTGGGTGTTTGTGTTCCTGACTCCTGTGAAGAAGAGGAGGTGCAAATGCTGGTGCTGTACGGTCAGTGAAAATCTGTTTTCTCTGGACTCATTGCAGTATCATTCCAATACTACTTTGTTTAACTTATGTTTCACCTTTTCTAACAGGGAGGCTACAGTTTAGTCAGACGTCCCTCATTCCCCCTTTACCTCCCATCCTGGTCAATCAGTCCACTCAGGAGATGATCATGACTCACTGTTTGTCTGACACCATTGCCCCTGATGCATCAGATTTCACCTGCCTGTCAGTATATGATTGTACTTCTATTATTTTACCTTCTCTACTGTCTTACATGCATGTGTAGCCTACTTGTAACTAAACTCACTGTTTTTGTCTTGTTTTTAGGTAATATTTGTGAGTCTTCTGACCTAAAACAGATACATTTTCTCCTGCAGGTTTGTGTGTTGTGTCATGGTAGCAATTCCTCTTGCGGCTACCCTGTTTACAGCTATGATAAGGTGGCAACAGGACAGAGAGGTCAGCCCAACAGTAGAGTCTCCGTCTTTGAACACTGGTCTCAAACTTTATGGTACCCTGAAGACCAATGCCTCCTCCAGTAGCAAAATTAATAGCAATACTTCAGAGGAAAAAGGTAATAGTAAGTATAATGTCCATCATATGTGAGTACATGTTCCCCAAAATGTACAGAAAATATTCAGTTCTGCTGTCATTGGAAGATCTGTAGAGGGATGATAATAAGTAGATATAACAACGAAACTTGTACTCTGCAAAAATAAGATTTAGATTGTTTTTATATTCAGACATTGCTTTATTATTATTGAATATTGTCTCATAGACTGCACCAGGCACACAACACTGTGCTTTTCTCGAAGCTGTGTGTACCGGTACCTGCAGGTGTTCTCTCTACAAACTACCACCCAGGGCATTTTTAGCACCTCCTCATCCATCCCAGGAGGAGGCTACTCCTGCCTGAATGGCATCCGTGTTCTCAGCCTGCTGTGGATCATTTGTGGACACTCTGCAGAGTATACATTAAACAACCTCGGTATATCAAGACTCACTGCCACTTGCTCACTCAATCTGCAAGACATTCACTTAATCACATATTACACTGTATTGCATCTATAACAGATAACTACAAAAACTGGAAGAACACAGTTGAAAGCAGCCCTCTGTATGTGCTTACCATCAGCGGACCTGTGTTTCTGGCTGTAGACACCTTTTTACTGCTCGGGTGAGAGTGACACAGCATGAAGTTTGAAATAGTGTGTCTGTAAAAAAAAACAACTGTATTTTGAGTTTTACGTTGCCAGTTATAGCCACTAGCTTTTGTGTTTAGGGGTCTGCTTAGTGCAAGGTCTCTGCTGGGCTCCATCAACAGAGCTGAAGACAAACTGAGCACCAGTTTGGTGACCAACTACCTCTTCAAGAGGATTAAAAGGTAATGCATGATGATCATTTCACCAAATTAAGTGATAGCTATAAAAAGTTATTCAGGAGCTCTTCATTGTATGTGTGATTTACAACTAATGTTAAAGTGAATTCTCCTTGTGCTTCCTTTGTTACAGGATTCAACCACTGCATATGTTTTTTGTGTGTCTAACCACTGGCCTCATCTCTCTGGTCCAGTGGGGACCCTACTGGTTCCCATTTAAAGATACAGGGGTGGATTGTAAGACTTACTGGTGGGCTAACCTATTGTTGATAAGCAATGTCCTCCCAAGCAACAAGATAGTAAGTTTAAGGGGTAATTTAGACCTAAGAGCTGCATAGTAGCTTCAATTTATTTTGACATATTTGACCTATATCTTAACATTTACCTCCTCAGTGTATTCCTTGGACTTGGTACCTATCTCTGGACTTCCAGTGTTATGCCACCACTCCTTTGTTGGTCTATTTTTATAGACTGTACGTACTTTCATATGATTCTAAAACATAGCAACATTTCGGTCCTCAATCAGATTTCTACCTTGTCAAAAATACATTTTGAATCATGGCCACCACTGGGGCCATTTCACATTATAACAATTTTATTTCTACAATCTTCCTATTGTTTGTTTATCAGAAACAGAGGTGTGTTTGCAGTTGTTTCTGGAGGTCTTGTGCTGATGACCACTGTGACCAGTGCTGTTATAACTGCACTTCTACAGCTGCCAGTCGTTCATCCATCTACACTGTAAGACTTAGTGATGGTGATCTACTGTAGTAATAATAGTAGCAAACAGCTTAGGACCCAAATGCATGAAATATAAGGTGTTTGTTTTATTTTTTATAACGTGAAATCCAACACAAAATAGAGCAAAGGCCAGCTAGCCATTCTGGTTGTTTCCTAAAAATAAAAAATACAATTTTTTCTTTAATTTTCAGGCAATTTGAGAATTATGTCTTGTATTACTACAAGAAACCCTACACAAGATATGGGCCATTTTTAATAGGGGTCTTGACTGGAATATATTTGGCGACAAAGAAGAATCAGCTTTTAAAGCAAAAGGTGAGAACATCTGATAATGTTGACAAAACTGCCAAATTCACTAGACACACCTTATTCATTTAGTAAATGTGAATACATCGTGCTCTTCTGTGACATTATTGAGCCAAACTGACTCTGTACACATACAAGCTGCTTATTGTGTCTTTCTGTTGCTCCAGTGGCAGGCAATACTTGGTTGGTTCTGCTGTTTGTCACTCATGGCTGTGTTGGTTGGATTAGCATACATCTTGAGGGAGACCCCGGCCTACCCATCAGTGCCTCATGCCCTCTACCAGGGACTGCACAGACAGCTCTGGGCTCTGGCTGTAACCTGGATCATACTGGCTTGTGAGGAGGGTTATGGAGGTAAACAAATACCACATGGTGGAAAAAAACAACAAATTAAAATAAGCAACACATTTTCAAGTATTTGTTTCTTCTGCATTCAAAACTCTGATGTTAGTCAATGAATAAATACACTATAATACAGTAACTTGCCGTTATGTATAATAATAGCAATATCAGTATCCAAAACTTTTTAGAATACATTTTTAACCCAAACTACATCTTATATATTATGCTCAATTTCAGGTTCAAAATCTTATATAGGGGTTGTACCAGAACAGGTTTACATGGTTTAATTTTCAAAAACACCAAATTTTTTCAGCTCCTCTTTTCACCCTGTGTTGAAGGCTTTGTTTTAGCTATGGAGTGATACATCTTGTCTCTAAATGATCTTTGCTGGGAGTTGCACATGCGCAGTTCCTAGTTAAGGACTACTAGCCAATTAGAAGCTGAGAAGGGCAGGTCGACGCAAACACAGCTTCAGTTCAGCTTTACATGTTGCCGACCAGCTTGGCAACATAAACTGGAGCAACAGTTTCAGAGTGGTGAGTTATTAATCTGTAACAAATGTATCTTTCATCCATAAAGTTTTAACTGAGCTCTGTCTCTACATCACAGTAACAACTTTATGTATATTAGTCCAACATCGCCGAGCCTGCTAGCCACATTAGCAGCGCAATATGCTAAAGCCAAGTTAGCTAACTTTCAAAATAAACTGTAAAACAACACAAAACACGGCAACACTTACAGCTTCCAAATCGGGTCACGTACAGCCCATGGCGATCTATCCATGAACCATTACAGAGCTCGTTAGGCTTGTGGAATTTTTGAAGCAATAATTTATTATTTTAACACACACTGAAGTGTAAAGTATGACCATTGGAGTTGTTGCAGTGCTTGCCATCCTCTGCGGCAGGCTTGACCAATAGTGTGGTATTTCAATTTTGAGGTTATCGCGACAGCCCTAACCAAAACCATCTTGGTTAGTCTTTCCACTGTTCCAACAAACATCAACTGTGGTTTGGTCGAAATTATGGGTGTCATGAGTATAATACTTTGGTACCAAGTCAATACCAAAATTCTTGTAAAAATACTTGTTTTTCTAGGTATCATAAATAGCGGGGATCCAACTCGTATAGATGCCAACTAAGTGTAGCTGCAGCGACAGCTCTGACTCAACTCGTTGAAAAGAACAACAGTTAAGAATTGTAAATGGTTAGGTACGTTGCGATACCATTATTTTTGTTTGAGACAGCTGGCATTGCTGTGTTGCCTGGCCAACTATGTTCCATTTTCAATCGGTAAACACTAAAGTCTACTGTAATGTAAACAAAGCTCGCAGTAGCAGGCTACTGTCCTTACCGATCTGACTGTGTCATCTGTCGTTTGCGTATTAAATAAATATTTCCGGAATAATGGTCAGTAAATTCAAACTGCTGCTTGCACTTTGAGTAGAGGTATTTGTGTGTGTGTGTGTGTGTGTGTGTGTGTGTGTGTGTGTGTGTGCAGTTTCTGCTGTTTTTGTTGTTTTTTCACAGTTATTGAGCTATAGGCCTACCTGATAATTTATTAAAGTGTGTAGAGATTATGTTGAAGTACATGGGATTTATAATTTTTGTTTTGTTTTTTAACATGGTATCAAATTTGGCAATGAGAATTGTTGAATTTTACTGGTATTGGTATTGACTACTACATTTCTGGTATTGTGACATCCCTAGTCAAAATAAACCCTTAATTCAAAAAAGTTAGATGTGAAAATACTCTCTGTACATGCTGTCGCTGCCTCTCTGATGCCCAACCTCCTTTTCACTCCTCTCCCGCTTGACGCCTCTCCTGAACCCACTATATCTTCTTCATCTCTGGAGGCAGACTCCTGGTGGAAGCCACTGTAAATCACCTTGTTACTCTATTCCCTTTCGTAGGCTAACTGACCTTTAACAAATATGGATACAAATGCAGTAATAGCATGTCTGCCAGTTTCCTGTTAATTGACATGTGAGTAAAAGCTAGACTTTCATACATGAAAGTCGTAATACATATTAAAAGTTCTTCACTATCTCACATTGTTTCTCCAGGTTTTATCAAGAGCCTCTTGTCATTGGATGTCTGGGTTCCTCTTTCCAACATTAGTTTTGCCTGCTATCTGACACATCCTGTCTTCATCATCCTCTACAATGGCTTGCAAGAGACCCCAATCCACTACACAGGCATCAACTTTGTAAGTACTTCAGACAGCACATTTCATTCAGTTTCAACAAGCCTGATGCTGAGGTATTTCAGATGTTACCATTTATTGGCTGTGTTTCTCGATGCCCTTTTTAACTTGTATTAAATGTCTCTTCTTTAGATGTACCTGTTCCTTGGCCACCTGGTGCTCACGGTGGTGGTGAGCTATGTGTTTACTGTGCTGGTTGAGAAGCCCTACCTTCACACATAGAGTAGTGCATAGAAAATCCATACTTGAAGGACTTCTCCAGTTAATGCCCCTAATCGTATATTTCATTTTAAAAAAAGATGAGATCTTTGAAATCAATGCATTCATCAACATTGACAGTGATTGAAATTTGTTAATGTTTTCAATCAACACCATCCAGAGAGAGAGAAAAAATATCCTTATTATGTGAAACTGAATTGGTTTTTCGGGTTAATGATTTAACAGATATAACAATATGTCATCTGCCTATGAGGATATTTTGTGTTGTCTTGTGTTATTTTTGTTGTCTATATTTTGCCCATCACCACTGAATGAAAGGAATTATTACATGGGCAAATAATTGTGGAGAAATTTTCAGCAGTACGATGAAAGCTATTTAAATTCCTAATAAAATGTAGTAAGACTATCAGAGTATTATTGTTTTGTAATTTGTTAACTGTACAGAGGGTCTTTTTTTTTGGATCTATCTATCTATCTATCTATCTATCTATCTGCTCTCAGACCCCAAAAGGCTCTGTATAACTCTAGAATTTCTACCGGAGAATCATAACGTTTTATGTTTTCTTCTGTATCGAAGTAATCTGTTGATAGTTGTCTGTACATCAATGGGTGCATTGCGAACAGATTCTGATAATATCTTATTTAGAGTTTTTCTTGATTGCTAAGACATGCCCACAGTTTGTTTTTTTTTACAAACGCTAACAGCCTTTTGTCCAGTCTGTAGTCACATTTTCAAAAGACCATACCATTAACTCAATTCATGTTGTTTTGTCAATTAACCCACTTCTAAAATATTAGATTTTTCTTTACGTACATGCTTACCCAATATTATAGATGTTTCTTGTCTTATTTACAAATGTTTGCACACAACATGTCAGAAATGAAGACATCGGGGGATGTAATCGATTACAAAAAGCGCATCTTTGACACTGCGCCCCATGTTGTTGTAATGCAGACCATCTAAAGGTGGACAACACGGTGGAAAATATTACTTCAAAACCAAAATAGCAAAAAGGCAGAAAGGGTAGCCTACCAGTCACCAAATAATGGAAAGGGTTGTCACATTGAGAATGTTTGCTCACACTCACTCTCCTACCCACATTCATCAACATGAATCCCAATTATTGTCTGTAAACACAGTGTTTCCCACAGAATGACAGCGTAACTATGGCGCAAGAGAGAGAGAGAGAGAGAGTGACGGGGCGAGAGGAAGTGCTGAGTGAATATAGGCTGTGCGCTGCGAGGAGCGCACAGCCTATAGCCTACGATTTTACCCATTTTAAATAGTAGCCTAACAAAAAAGAGCGTTGATAATGTGTCAGACCGCCACAAATAAATCAGTGTGTGGGAAACGCCTACAGTAGAGGTCATCCAGCTTGATCACTGCCTTTATTAAGGCAAGGGTGTCAGCATCTGTGACTGAAGTAAATTGAAATTTATGATTTTGCTGAGGGCTGCAGTACATAACGTGAGACTACACGCTGCAACATTATCCTCACTTTGATCACGGTACAAGACTAGTAACAGCTCGCATGGGTCTCAGTTATTGTTGACAGTTTCAGAATCAGAATCAGAATCAGAATCAGAAATACATAATGTGCATCTGTATTGGAAGGATTTTGCTAGATGTGGTAATGGATTTTATCATTTGAGTTTGAGAACATGCGTCTCTTTATGTTGCCGCCGCAAGAAATTGTGGGACGGCATTCTCTCCTTTCTTTTAGTAAAGGATGGTCAGGTGTAACCTATACTAAAGGAGACATGAAAGGAAGCATTGAGGCACCTTTCATTAGCTTTTAAAGAATTCAACCAGCTCTTATCATGGCTGCCACAGAAGTACTTCCGGTTTACTTCACTCAGTTAGGAACCTTCCGAAGCAAAAAAGACTTTGTTTCTATTGTCAGATTAAAGTAGAGAAGAAGAGTTTTTATCGTCCCCTGCTGGTGACCCATAGGAGCTACACAGACATCCAAGATATGTATGAATTTGTCTTGTTGAGACAAAGAGAAACAGACCACTTGAGACACAGCCTTGTAGGATGTTCTGTTCTCAAGCTGTGGCCTGTAAAGCATGGAAGTGCTTTTGGTCATATATATTGACTGTTATGAATACTTCAATGTTTTGGAAGCTTTATGTCATTTAGAATGTGGTTGTATGGAGAGAAATAATGTTTTGAAGATAACTCCCAATAAAAGAACATATAAACAATAAATATGGCCAAAACATGGAACTTCGCCTGGTATATTTTTGAAAGATTGTGTAATAACTGTTGTATATTAGTTTCTTTTCATCAAATTTACAGTTACAGTTGTATTCCAGGTGTATTAGAAGATATTTAGGTGCATTATAATCTATGTTATGATGGTTTTGATGGTTTATTACATTAAAATATATTTTTTCTTTCCAGAATTATGCATCTAGGCCTAATGGTTGAGGAGTTATTACTGATTTATTTTGGGTATGTTATTTTAGGCATTTTTCCTGAAAATAGGTGCCAGGGTTCATGTGGTAAGTAATGTATAAAGCCTCTTCTTCCGCTACAATAGCAGCTCAAATTCTAATTTGACACAGCTGATAAGCATTTCTGAATTAATGTATTGAAATATTGAGAAATAATTAATTTATTGTAATTTGGTTAAAATAGATCAAACACAGCTAATTCCAATCTCAACCAGAGACATAGACAGGTGTTGATGACATACACAATGCAGTATAAAGGGGACTTTCTGGAGTGAGTTTATCCAATGTGGGTACACGACAACACAAAGGAGGAGAGACAGAAAGAGTAATGTCTAGTCAAGGGAGAAGAATAGCTGGGGAGGAGTAGCAGAACCAGGTTAAGTGTTTCTATCCGCATAGCGAGAGATGACATTAGATGTGATGTGGACGAGAACATGTTGCCAAATGCGGAAGATCATATGGATTAAAACAGGACTGTGCATTTTTGTTTCTTTCTCTTCTGTGCATTTTTTTGTTTCACTGTGTATTTGACAATATTTTTACACATTTTGATAAAAAAAAAACCCACAGAGGTTGGATTATTTGTTGATTACTGGCTGCATTTCATATTTCCAATAAAGCTTTTACTTCTGCAATTCTGACGCTTACAAACTTTTTCTACCGTAAAATCTATAAAGTAAAGATAACTCATTACCAGTGGCGTTTTCTCCCAGAAGCCAAGGGAAGCCAGGCTTCCCCTGTTTTTATCAGACTCTATTTATCATTTCAATAAAAACACAATGTTTATAGTTTCGATAAATCTTGTAAGCTGTTGCGATAATTTCTTCCCCATTTCTCACTATCTTACAATAAGTGAAACAGCGCCCCTCTAAATGCTACGCGTTGGATGTGTGGTGAAACACTATATTGCACCACCGTAGACTGGCCTTCAGTCTGACTCTTTTTACAGTCTATGGTCTGACTACGTGAGGAGGCAGAGTTAGCACCCCTTTGTGAAAAAATTAAATGATTAACCAATCAGATGAGGCCACTGTCATGCCACTGCCTAACAATGATAAGTCAGGATGATGCCAAGGGAAGCCAGCCGCCGTCTGGCTTCACGCCAATCAAATCACAGCATGCGATCACGTCATTCAGATGAAATAACGGGAGCTGTTAGCATCTTTAGCTGGTGCAGTTATGGAGGGTGGAGATTTGGAATTTTTAGTTATAATAAATAGTTTTACTAAACTACCACTACAGCAGCAATTGAGAGATTAAATCTTATGGAAGACCAACGACAAAACTGGAGCTGGGCGTGGAGAGAAAAAAAGGGGTTTTGGACGTTCAATGAGGAAAACTATATCTGTACAGAGTGGCTAGCTAGTAGCGCCAAACTTTGACTGACTCTGTTGTCGAGGAGGACGTAAAAGCCAGTGGGAAATTCTATAACTTGGTTATTGACCACTTAGCCACCATGAAAGACAAGAGAATGCTCTTCCTTTTCAAATAGGGTGAGTGAAATGACACCTCCTTCTCTCTCTGAACTAACTGAACTGCAGCTATGAGTGCGATTTTTAATGTGGTTATATTGTTTATTTTTTTGCTTGCCTGGATTTAGCTGTGAATGAATAGTCAATTGAAGTAACCTTATTATTTTTACTGCGGTTGTGTGCGCATAGTTAATGAGCACCACAGACAGCTTCTGCCACAGGGCACTGGGCCAGGTTAGGCTACCTGAATAATTGTCTATACTCTGTTGGTCGGGTACTCGGTTGAGATTCTTCAGAGATGTTGTGTTATGAACATTTGGCCAAGTATTAAGAAGTATCTAGGTCTATTTGATACACGCACCACTGCTACTATGCAAATGTCTTCAGCCGTCTTCTGATTGAGCTTGTGAATGCTTCTTTTATTCTTAAAGAGGTGGTATTACGGTTTTTGGCTTTTTCCCTCTCCTTTATTGAGTTATATATCTTTTTTGTGCATGTACTAGGTTTGCAAAGTGAAAAAGCCCAAAGTCCACCCCAAAGGGAGTTCCCATCTCCCACAGAAAACACTACTCTGAACTGCCTGGAAATAGCTCATTTGTAGTCCAGGCTTTACTTCCCTTTCTTGTGACGTCACAATAAAAATACGTGTCATAATGCTCGCTGAACGACTAGTCCGACACGCCCTGAAAAACACCTGTGGAAAAACACTGAGCTGTGTCGTGGAAATTATATTCCTGGTTAGGGGTTGAACAAAGAATTGAGTAACAACCAACCGTTGTCTTTGAAGTATTTATTTAACAAAAGAGAATAAACAGAGAAGTATAAAAAAACACATATACAGCTGGTCCAGAGACCTGCCGCCTAGGGCGGCATCGGGCGTCTGGCCCCAAGCAAAGGGATGCATCATCATTTACACAGTCTAGGTTTCTATGTTTTAGGGAACAGAGATCCTTTCTCAGCCTTGAATGAACATTCCATGAGAGGAGAGGAACTACAAGAGAGGGAAAACACCAAAACAATCTCACAGCTCAGACCTAAACCCTAGTAAATGTGGACAGACCAACATAAGGAGTATAGGTGAGGAAAGGTTAAGGATAAAAACACAATACATATCTATAACAATAATAGTAATAATAATGATAATATTAAAAGATCATACATAAAAGATTAAATGTAAGAGGACACAACTGTCTGTCATAACAAGCTGCAGCACACCTCTCCTCTCCCTTCCAAACACCAGCTACCAAAGGACATGAAGTTGTTACTGTGATCGAGAGACAGAGCTCAGTTAAAACTTCATGGATGAAAGATACTTTTGTTACAGATTAATAACTCGCCACTCTGAAACTCTTGCTCCAGTCCAAATTGCCAACCTGGTCGGCAACATGTAGTCTACAGCTGAATCGAACCTGTTTACTGTCTTTTCGCTGACCCGCCCTTCTCAGCTTCTGATTGGCTAGTAGTCCTTAACTAGGAACTAGTTGCACTCATGTGCAACTCCCAACAAAGATAATTTGAGACCAGATGTATCACTCCATAGCTAAAATGAAGCCTTCAACACAGGGTGAAAAGAGGAGCCTCAGCAATGCGCAGTATGACAAAAAAATATGGTGTTTTTTGGATATTAAACCATGTATACCTGTTCTGGTACAACCCCTAAATAGGATTTTGAACCTAAAAATGAAACCTCTTTAAATTTTTGTAAAATTATACCCCACAATGCATTAGGGCTGGGCGATATGGCCTAAAAATAAAATCTCTTATTTTTTTTTCCGATTTCCCCCCCTACTTAAGGAAAGCAATAAGTACAAACGACAGACTACTTAAAGCAAATTTTGCTTTTATTTAATCAAAAGCAAGACAAATGTAACCCCTATTTCTGGGATGAAGTAGCACCATTTTCTAAAGCATTAACAATATATTAAAATCTGAGGAAAACTAGACAGTGACATTTTTCATTGTGTCTAGCCCAAACAATGCAACAACATACAGGGATACATGACATGAACATGCACATCTTACTCTTAGCAGAATTAAATTTTTCAAACCAAAAACAAAAAATATTCTCTTTTATTGCACTTTGCATAGAATTTTAAATAACAACCTAAAGAGGCAACACCTCTGTCTTGGGTAAAATAGTAATGTAAACAAAAATTTAGCAGAGTACAAAATGTGCAAAATAAATTACACATCAACTCCAACTGATAAAGTGCAAACTTTGCTTTAAAAAAAATATACCGTGCCATTTGTGTCCCTGAAAGTATGAACAGAAAAGAAAAATCACATTTTGACTGAGGTGCAGAACATGAGATATGTCTTTTCCACGGTATATATGGGTACCATGTCTTTGGCTATATGCAAAGCGACCGCTTCGGTGATTGTTCTCCACCGTGCCCCTTTCCTGTCATATGCGGTGCCTTGTGCAAAGGATTCGGCTACAGTTAGCTGTTTTTTAGCTAAGGTTTGTTGGTCAGTGCGGCTTTGTTCATCGCGGAGAGACTGGCATTTTTCATATTCGGCTGGATGTCTCTGTTTCAGGTGTTGGAATAGGTTTGTGGTGCTGCTACCTTTCACTGCGATAGGCTTTAGGCAAATGTTGCAGCGTGGTGTCTGTTGTTCCACATCTGTCGCAGCAAACCCATACCAGTTCCAAACAACAGATGACTTTATTCCTTTCTTGGGAACAAACTTCCCGCTCTCACCGGTAGCCATTTTGTCGCTTGCTGTTGCTGTTTAGTGTATGATGTTGTCGCTATGGGAAACGAACACTACGGAAACCCCGGGGAGCCAAAAATGTGCTATTACACAAAAACTCGATTTACTTATTTTTTAAATCGACCGCAACAAAAAATTCGAATTAATTCATTCAATCGATTTTTCGCCCAGGCCTACAATGCATTAGATAATTGCCCTCCAAAAAGGACATCCCCTCTCACTTGGCTTCCCCAAAAATGTACCCCACCCCCCACCACTGCTCATTACATAGTTTGTTGCCAAAAATGCACACATTCAACCCTCAAGTCAAAAATGTAGGATTGTCTACAGTAAAAGGAAACTGAATTGCCAAATACAACAGATTTCATACTGTTTGCAGGCAGAACCAAAACATGAATAGTAATGCAGTTTTTGTAATGCCATCAACTATTTGTATTTAGAAAGTTGTTCTGCTATGAATGATTGATCTATTTCTCTTGAAAAGAAAATGTGCTAGTGTTTGGACAGAATGATTTGATTTGGCTGTGTTTTGAATAGAGTTTGTCTGTAGAGAACATTTTTTGCATTTTGAAATGTAGAGTTGGTATTTAAAGAACAAAATGTGGTTTTGCGCACACCCTTGTTAGCAATTGAAAAAACCTGTAATGAAGCTGGGATCCACTTGATATTCATCATCACCTTAGCACAACAGAAGACTACTTTTGGAAATGTGTTAACACTTTTTCATTTGTTTCACACATTTTTAGATCTCATAGATGCATAGATGCATCTTGCAGAGCACTACACTGCAGCTGGTTGAGGTCAATCAAATGATTTAAGTTTTATATATTTGTAAAGAATTTATTAGTTTGTTCTGTTCGTTAATTCTCTCTCTTTAATAACATGGTGTCAAATAATACACTTTTATTAAGGCTAACGAGCCCTCAGCCAGCAGACTACGGATTTAGCCATATTTCAGCAGAGATACTTTATAATGGTCACGTTGACAATGAGTGTCCATGAATTTCTGAGGGAGCACTGAAGGGAGGGGTGTATTTGTTTGGCAGTTGAGTTCAAATATTAATAAACTTACTGCTTTTTTACTCTCCCTTTAAGGTCACCTCCTGCTGGGAGGCATTGACAAACAACCTATTTGGTTGCTTAGGTTGGAGGACAGCTTGGTATTTCAACACAGAACCATAAAGATGTACCCTACAGGCAACTTTTAAGTAGACAGCGTAAGATGCTAATTATGCTAATCCCCTAAATTTTGTGTAGAAGGAAAAAATTATTTGTTCAAATTAGCCTATTTCAATAATTAAACAACAATGACAAATATTAAAGCAAATGTTAATTAATTAATAAAATGTATATTTTTGTAAACTTGTTGGAGACTGTAATTATTTTAACCTCTTAATCAATCATCTAGCCTGATGCCATTTGTTAATGTAATAATAAATTAAGGTATCATAATAAATCATTGAATTTGACATGTTATTCCAAATGACCAAACAGTGAAAATGAGTTTTGTGTTATCTACCACAAATTGGTGAACGATGCTTTGTGAAAATACCATACACACTTCACACTTCTTCACACAAAGATGTGATCTGATTTCTGTCTACTAGCTGCTTTAACATAATTTGTGGCTTTAGTGATAGTCCTATCCATGTGACCTAGGAGTTGCTCCCTGGAATTCTCACATAGGATTAAAGGAAGGAAGGAAGGAATTCTATCATTTGTCCATCATTGTTTAAAGTTAGAACGGCTGCATCTTACAGGTTACCAAATTATTGTACAGTATGTGTAGCCTACAATTTACAGTGTGTGCTTGTTTTTTTGTGGAGTTGGCCAAAATCTAATGATAAAAAAGATTAAGTGCTATGAACAGGCTATTTAATATGACGGAGTATTAGGGCCACATTAAGAAAAACAAATTGAGGATGAAGATTTTGCATTTCGAGAATAAAGTCAACATGTCAAGAATATAGTAGAAGTACCATTTTCGAGAATAAAGTCGAAATGTCAAGAATAAAGTCAACATGTCGAGAATAAAGTAGAAATGACGAGAAAAAACTTGACATTTCAAGAATCAAGAAGTACTACTACTACCTACTAGCTACCTACTTCCACAAAATGCCTCATGTTCGTAAACTTATACTTCAGAATCGGTTTTAATAACAAGGAAATTCTTTCTCTTTTACCGCATAAACACGGCGTGGTAATAAGTATTAGGACTTTGAAGAGATTGCCGAACATTGCGTTTGTTCAGAAGGATAAATTACACAAACTTGGAAGAGGTGGGCGCATTCCTGCAAACTGAAATAGCGAGAAATGGACAGATGCAAGGGTATCGATGGTTAAACCTACGCGCAATACAGAGAGAATATGTGGTATCACAAGACACAATAAGACAGTTGATCATGAATTGGCATTCCTCCTACACTTGAAGCATACATACTGTATATCTCATATCTGCAACCTTGTATAATGAATAAAACTTCAGGTTATGTCTGTTTTTTATGCAGGATGAACTTGATGAAGTCGTGACAACCTGGACTTCCCATTGACAACATTCGTGTCAAGCCAGGCCATGGTGTGATAGGAGGTCGCCCTATTGTGCTACACAGTTCCAGAGATAGACAGTTGACATGGAGGAATTGGCCCTTTATAAGGAGTAGTGCACCGCCAAAAGCCAATACCCATGTGATGAAACTGTATTTGATCTCTGCTGTCTTCTGATGCAGGAAAAAGGATGGGATGCGCCCAGAGATGTGTTTTCCGCTGCTGAACTCTACACCTTATTGAGAACTGAAATAGGCCTACTGCTAAATATCTGAGGGGTGGACAACTCTCTGCAGTAAGGAGGATCACTGTGTGGCTACTATGTAGGCCACACAGTGAAAGCATAATTTCCTCTAAATGGGCCTGATGTAGACCTGCACTTATGCAGTACACATGTGGTGCCAAGACCATCTCGGCCAACTTGAGAACTTTGTAGTGATTATACACAGTGATCAGCACTCTCTTGCCAAGTGTCCACTTGACTGTACAGCCTTCATGCAGCATGTGTGATTGAGTCAAACAAGTAGTTTGAATGGCAGCTCATGAGTATCCTCACTTTCACAACATTTTGATTTTATTCCAAAAATATATTCAGTAATTTCGCTTGCTACCTGGCAGTGTGTTTAGGAGGATCTATTCAAATACACTGAATATTCACTTTGTTTTCATTAATTTATCACTTGAAAGCTGTTGAAAATAGTTTTTGAAAACTGTACTTGAATTGTCCTTATACAAACAGAGACAGAATAAGGGAATAAAGTCATAACATCTGACATTTGCAAAAAACATAGGGCCCTTACCGCATAAACGCAGAAAACCTGAAGACAAATTGCACCTATAAAAGGCTTTCAAAGTCAGAATAGCAGCTTTTTGTGTCAGTCCTTTTAGAAACCTTGGCTTGGCAACAGTATGGGCACAACTTTAAAGGGCCACATATCGTGCTACACAATGTCCACCCAGACGTTGCTCTCAAGGACTTCAGTGAATTCAGCACGAAAGTCAGGGAAATTTCCATAGAAGTCAGGTAGCTGTAGGAACATTCCACATGTCCGTCCAATTGGACGTCTTGTGAAATCAGTCATTTCTGTAAATTCAACAGTGACAGTGTCTGACACAATCATATCAGACCCTGTGCAGAATCTCAGAAACTTCCCAAGTTTTTCTTCATCCAGTTCCCTGATATACCTTCTGAGATGATGTTCAACCTCTTTTTGCTTTGCCCTCATATCCGCTGGGAACTTCAACAGCCTTAACACCTTTTTAGATGTGGGTTTAAGATCAGCATAAATCTTTGTCAGCTTCTCATAATTCAGACTGATCTGTGATTGGGTGATCTCCCTCCAACAATCAATAACAAACATTGGATTTTGAACAAGTTCTTTGTGGGAAATTTCCATCAGAATTACTGGAAGGGTGTCTGCTGAGGCTTTTCTTCTACATTCATAGTTATCGAGGACCTCCAACAGGTCATCAGGATCAACCAAGGAGAAATCTTGTAAAGCTTGCCTGAGGATCTCTCGTTCTTGGCAGCTTACAAACTGAAGAAAGGCTTCTGTCAGATCACTGTACACTGCTCCAAATAACATCTCCTCAACTAAAGGAGGTGCAAGCTTGATAGGAAGGTAGTGTCTTTGTATCCTCTCAGTAAAATTCTGCCGATGGCTTTCCAAGTGTCAGCCTTGAAATCATGTCTGATGAAGGGTACTTTCATTGTTGTCCCGAGTGTGCAACGATCATAGAATTCTTGCCAAAATGCACTTTAGACATCTCTCAGAACCCCTGACCCGCTTCCTCAGAATTATCTGGGAGTAATCGTCTCACTGCCAGTGGTCTGGTCAGAGTCTCGGGATCAGAAAATGCTTCAACTGTGTCACTGAAACCATTTGCATGGTGTATAGTAATCAGTTTTGTTTGAGGGGTGCTGTCAGGTAGAGGCATCTTCATCTGATTGTGGTTTGGGCTGAGTGGCAATGTAGAAACACAGCTTGGATAGTTTGACTGTTTCATAAATTTTGCCAATTGAGAGATCTTCAGAAAAAGAGTTTTGTTTAAAGTCCCATACATATAAAGTGAAGTCTGATTCATGGCCTTTACTTGAAACACCATTTGAACCAATGAAATTTCATTAAATCCACTATTGATGTCCATAAAAACCTTTGTCTGTGAAGATTCTCAGTCATCCAGGTCATAGTTATCCAACAAAGGTTAAAGTCGAGGGCAACTGGACTTGGTTGAATATACTGGAAGACGTTTCATCCCTCATCCAAGGGACTTCTTCAATTCTGACTGACTGGTAGGGAAACTCAGCTATTTAACCTCAGTGGGGTCGTTTGCTAGGATCGTCGATACTGCTGGTTCCTTAGTGTTCCTGGTTGTTGTAACGACAGCCGTTACGGTCGTTAGGACTACCCATGGCCAAGACTGTCGTTGGTATCTTCACCTGAGGCTAATAGGTTACGTTTGTTGAGTTTCCTGGGAAGCGATGAAAGGACGGCATTGTAAGTGGGTGATAAGTGGTGGCGTAGACCCCCTCCCCTGTAGATGGCTTCCTTGACACCTCTTTCAAACCATCCATCTTCTCTAACTAAAATGTGCACCTGGTGGTCCTCAAACGAGTGTCCTCTGTCTTTCAGATGTAAGTAGACTGCAGAGTCTTGACCTGAGGAGTTGGCCCTTCTGTGTTGAGCCATGCGTTTGTGTAGTGGTTGTTTAGTCTCCCCAATATACAGGTCTGTGCATTCCTGACTGCATTGGACCGCATACACTAGATTGCTTTTCTTGTGTTTGGGTGTGCAGTCTTTGGGGTGTACCAGTATCTGTCTTAGTGTGTTCTTGGGTTTTGAAAAACACAGGGATGTTGTGTTTGTTGAAAATCCTCCTGAGTTTCTCTGATACTCCAGACACGTATGGAATCACAATGTTGTTGCGTTTGACCTGCTTTTCTTCATCCCTTGTAGTTTTGTTCTTCTTGGATCTTGTGGCTGTCTTCACAAAGGTCCATTTAGGGTATCCACAGGCTGTAAGTGCCCCCTTCAGGTGGTTCTGTTCCTTCTCTCTGGCTTGGGCGCTTGTTGGTATGTTTTCCGCTCTGTGGTGCAGCGTTCTCATGACCCCTAGCTTGTGCTCCAGTGGGTGGTGTGAATCGAAGAGTAGGTATAGGTCTGTGTGGGTGGGTTTTCTGTAAACCCCAGTCTGCAGGCTCCTGTCCTCTTCAATGTGTACAGCGCAGTCCAAGAAGGCCAAACTGTTGTTGTGAACATCTTCTCATGTGAACTTGATATTACTGTCCACAGAGTTGATGTGTTCTGTGAAGGCTTGCACTTCCTGGCTTTTGACCCAGGTGTCGTCCATATATCTGTACCAGTGGCTCGGTGCTGTTCCTCTGAAGGAGTTGAGGGCTTTGTTCTCCACTTCTTCCATGCAGATATTTGCCACAATCGGGGATACCGGTGAGCCCATGGCACAGCCATGTTTCTGTCTGTAGAATCCTCCGTTGTACTGGAAGTAGGTGGTGTTTAGACAGAGGTCGAGTAATTTACAGATCTGGTCAGGGCTGAGGCTAGTTCTGTTGTCCAGGGTTTTGTCTTGTGTTAGCCGTTTCCTAACGGTTTCTACTGCCTCTATGGTGGGGATGCAGGTGAACCAATAAGTCACGTCATAGGATACCATGGTTTCATCTGGGTCCAGTTTTAGTCCTCGAACTTTGTTTACAAAGTCAATGGAGTTTTGAATGTGGTGAGGCATGTTTCCCACCAAAGGACCTAAGATGGTAGCAATGTGTTTGGCAATGTTGTAGGTGACCGAGATAATGCTGCTGATAATCGGCCTGAGTGGGGCTCCTTCTTTGTGTATCTTGGGTAGTCCATAAATGCATGGAATGGCTTCTCCAGGATACAAACGGTAATATTGTTCATGGTTGATGGTGTTGTCTTTCTGTAGCTGTTGTAGACATTCTATGGCCTTTTTCTTGAATTCGCTGGTTGGGTCTCGTCTCAGTGTCTCATATGGGTTTGTGTCCATTAGTAGTGTGTTGACTTTGTTCTGGTAGTCCGCTGTGTTAAGGACTACCGTGCATCTTCCTTTGTCAGCAGGTAGGATAGTGATGTTTTGATCCTTGCTCAGAGATGTCATAGCCATAACAACCTTTCTAGTGCCCCCTCCTTGTTTTGCTCTAACCTGTTTAGTTTCACATTTGTCTTGGTGTATCCAACCTATCTCAATAGTCCGTGTAGTTTGCCTTCGTCCGGTTTAGCGGTTTGAGGCTCCTCTTGCTTTTCAAGAAGACCCATTTTTCGCTTTGAGACAGGCTTTTGATGTCTGCAAAAATTGAAAAGTGCAATTCTGTCTCCATATGAAGGAATTTATTTGGCCAAAGCTGAATCGTCCATAAGCAGGATGACATCTATGTCGATCTGTGAAACAAAGGAAAACCATAATAAGGGAGAAAAAATACAAATCGACCAAAGAACAGCACAACATTAGTCTATTATTTGTTACTGTACTGGACTCTACAGGAAGCTCCATATTTAAGCTCCATCTAATTACTTTGGATATGAAATTACACAAAGCTTTGTCATTATAATGCCAATTACCAGTTTTAATTTTAGCCATATTATAATTATCAGTTTAATAATTATAGCCTATTTATGATCCATTTCAGGGGTCCAAAATTATCTTCATAAAGTAAATTATTTTGTAGTTATAATTTTGTCATTCTTTCTATTTGTGCAAGAATTTAGTGAGGTCTGCAACCCATTCACATCACTCTTGATAACTTATTCAGGTGCTCCTGCATGTGGCATGTCAGTGTATCTGTAAGTAATCAGCTGACTCTGCTTGACTCTATATGATCACACTATACTGCTGTATAGGATCAGTAAAGGGTCAATGTTATAAAAATCAACCTTGAATTCACACTAGAACTAATTGTATTGTGCAAACCATTCCCATCAAACACAGACAGATTGAAGAAAATGCTTTTTACGAATTTAAGTTGATTATTGACACAGGCCTGGAAACAGCCACTGATGTTATTTATGTCAATTCAATTCAATTCAAATTAGCTTTATTGGCATGAATGTGTAAGAACAATATTGCCAAAGTATCATACATATAACATAAGAACAATCAACCCCATACATTTCATTAAACAAGTAATTAAACCGTAAAGTAATCAAAGCGCATGTGTTTGTGTTTAAAAAAAAAAGAATAAATATTAAAAATTAAAATAAATAAAACAGTAAGTGTGTGTTTGTGTGTGTGTTAAAAAATATAAATAAAATATTTTAAACAAAAATATATATACATAAAATTAAAATAAAACAAATAAATGAAACAGTAACGTGTGTGTGTGTGTGTGTGTGTATATATATATATATATATATATTAATAGACAAAATAATTAATTGATTAAAAAAATAATATCTGTACAATTATTTATCAGCCTGAGGTTCCAATGGTTCTCCTCACTTCATGGCATGAGCAGACATATTTTTCAGCAATTATTTCACATTTGGGCATTTCTCCCAGTAAATAGGGGAGTTTCTATGTGTCTGATATGAATTCGAATTCGGGGTATATTTGGGAAATGTTTGCATTTGTTTTATATTTGGGGCATGAGGTTACGCACCTCCGTCTCTACCTGTCTCCTGTCACACTGGGAGCAGAGTCTCTCCTCTTGTAGACTTGTGTAGAGAGCCAGGACCAGATTATAAGTAAATACCAAAAATAATCTGTCACGGTGACTAACATTTTTGCCAGGTACAGGGAACCGGTGTTCTAGCGAATAATGGTCCTTGATATAACATTCGCAAGAGGTTCACATGATATAGTAGTTTATAGTTCAATGGTAACATATTAATGTCAAGCATAAATAAATAGGCTTTACGTTATTTATTTAATGTGGCTTTGTCTTACAGTTAAGAATAAGGTAGCATCTCCTCAAAAACTCACTTTTACACTCCAAGGATGTAGCCTAACCCGTGCCTATGGTGTTGCGCACATGGCAGCTGGCATAGCGGACAATCGCTCCAACGTGATCTGATGGACTAAAGGAGTTTACTTTATTCTCAACATGTTGACTTTATTCACGACATTTTGACTTTATTCTCGAAATAGTGCTTCTACTTTATTCTCGACATGTTGACTTTATTCTCGAAATGCAAAATAAATAAAAAAATCTTCAAACTAAATTTTTTTTCTTAATGTGGCCCTAATACTCCGTCGTAATTTAAGGCCTGGGGACCTTTACTAAATGTTTGTCGCGACGGAGGTTTGAACCCCGGACCTGCTGAAAAGCGATGACACCGCCACTAGTTTGTGTTACTGCCCCTGCATGCTGGTAGGATATGTAATGATTTCGTTTTGTGCTACTTGTGTTCGTGTGTAGTTATGCTGCTGTGACTTGCCAAAACCCAGAAACAGAGAAACAAGACTCAAAATACAGAGACGACACGGCCAAAATAATACAAACACAGACAAACTCAGGACAGGATCGTGACACTATTTACAATATTTTTGTTGTTGTTGTCGTTCTCTTAAAAAGTAATATTTGTGAGTCTTCTGACCTAAAACAGATACCTTTTCACCTGCAGGTTTGTATGTTGTGTCATGGTAGCAATTCCTTTTGCGGCTACCCTGTTTACAGCTATGACAAGGTGGCAACAGGACAGAGAGGTCAGCCCAACAGCAGAATCTTCGTCTTTGAACACTGGTCTCAACCTTTATGGGACCCTGAAGGCCTACTGTGGATCATATGTTGACACTCTACAGAGTATACATTAAACAACCTGGGTATGACAAGACTCACTGCCACTTCCTCACTCAATCTGCAAGTCATTCATTTACTCATATTCTTATGTTGCATTGCATTTATTGCAGATAACTACAAAAACTGGAAGGTGCCAGTTTTAGCTCTTTCTACAGCAGCTTTTGTGGTCTAGGGGTCTGCTTAGTGCAAGGTCTCTGCTGGGCTCCATCAACAGAGCTGAAGACAAACTGAGCATCAGTTTGGTGGCCAACTATCTTTTCAAGAGGATTAAAAGGTACAGTATGATGATAATTTCAACAAATTAAGTTATAGCAATAAAAACAGATTTAGAAGCTCTTCTTTGTGCTGACGTGCTGCGGTAAGTGACTCATTTCCGTTTCCGGTGCTTATGTGTTGGTAGCGTGTTTTGCTGCTCCAACTAAACACCAAATACCAGTTAAATTTGTTAGATTTGACATTACAGCGGCTAACTGCGCCAAACACTCATCCTCACAGTAGTTCTGCCTAAGCACTCACAGTTCTTTCCATCTTTTAGTGACTCTCGTTAAATTTCGTAGTTGCTTTCGAAAGTTTTGCAAACATGACGGTGCTCTCCAAGACCTTCTCAGAGCCATCTTACTCCCTACACAGATAGTAGTAATAAAATGCAAAGGATACCAAAACTCAACCTCACCTGTAGCTAAAGGAAATGATGCAGCAGACAAAGCATCTAAACAAGCAGGAGGTTATAACAGACAATTGATATGTCTACAGACAGAGAACAGCCCCAAACTAACCAAAGAACACATACAGAGAATGCAAGAACAGGCAGGCCCCTATGAACAAAATCAGTGGCTTTCAAAAGGCGCAAAACAAACAGATGAAGGTATTTGGAGAACATGTGATGGTCATTTGGTGGCACCTGCAGAACTCAGTCATTTGTTAATTAAAGAAGCCCATGGGCCCACCCATGTTGGTTGAAAAAGAACCACTAAAGAAGTGGAGATTCATTGGTGGTATCCTTACATGAAAGTAGAAAACTTTGTTAACGACTGTGGGAAATGCAATGCTTTCTATGACAGGAGACCTTACAAATGTCCAATGGGACGTTTCCCGTTCCAGATGCTCCATTTAAAGAAATCTGTATAGACTTCACAGACATGGGGGCAGATAATGTAGTAAGAGGGCACAGATACATTTTGGTTATGGTAGACTTTTACACCAAATGGATTAAAGCTATCCCATGTAAAAAAAGAAGACGCACACGCAAGAATTGGTGAAGGGAGCTAACCAAACATTGAAAAGAAAAATTGCCAAAGCCTGTCATAACACCATAATGAACTGGGTAGATGCACTGCCCCTGGCACTAATGTCCATGGGAACATCACAGAGTGGCAAAACTCACCTGTCTCCCCACGAGTTGTTGACAGGCAGGCCAATGCCAGGGCCACCCAGAGATGGAGGTCTGGGTCCAGTGTTGGACTTACGGCTGATAGAAGTAGGAGATTATATGAAGGCCCTTGCTAAACTTACTCGAGTTTTGTCTTCACAGGTCCAAATTGCTACCAAAGCACCGCGGAACAAAACAGAGACTCCTGCTGGGTCTGGAGAATGGGTGTGGGTGAAAGTTCACAAGAGAAAGTGGGCTGAACCCAGGTGGACAGGACCGTGGGAAGTGATTTGGCACCACCTTACACATTGTACACCCGCTCAAGCCCCCTCCTGATCAATAGAGGAGGTTAGAACTGATTTGGCCACGCTGTGAACAAAAATAGATTTTTGATTGGCATTATGAATTAGGATTATACACAGCAGATCCAGGAAATTTGACTCTGGTAGTTTACTTAAAACTGAATCATTCTTTGTTTATATTTTTTTATTTATTGTTTTTGTTTGTTTAGTTTTTCCTTCCACATTTACTGAAAACTCAATCATTCTTTGTTTATATTTTTTATTTATTGTTTTTGTTTGTTTAGTTTTTCCTTCCACATTTACTGAAAACTCAATCATTCTTTGTTTTATTTTATTTATTTTGTAGTGGACCTAAATTTATTAGTTATGAATTTTAATAAATTTATGAGAATTGATACCCAATTATGAATTATTCATAAAATCATTTTTCCTCATTAAGGGCACCACCGGAGTTGTTATAATCCTAGAGTCTCCGGACCTCTAGGTAGTTTTGAATAATTATACAATTATTACTAGTGATCAGTTAGTTAATAATCGCTCAATTATCTTAAATCAGTCAGTCAGTCAGTCTCATATCTAAAGGGTCAATTCTCTTGGCAGGAACTATAAATAGGCAACACACAGCTCTTGATTATATTACAGTGAATTTATTCTCTAACTAAGGTGATAAAAAGATGGTTGGATACAGGGAACATAAACATTTGCTGAACAATGAGCCTGGAGGTTCGATTGTGGGAAGCATTTGACTCATACGGCATAGAAGAACTAATGAAAGTAAACTAATGCTCTAGTTTAGGAGTTAAAATGGACATCTGATCACAGAACGTGTGTTAAGTCTTACTGCTTGTCGACAGCCTGCTTTTGGCCTGTTGCACGGGTCCCACGCTAGCTGCCGATCCTGGCTTTTTGCAAGGGATTCTTCGGGGTTCTCCGTGTCTGATTGAAAACGCCTCCTCCGTCTGGCAATTCGGCTGTTTGCAGGTTTCCTTGGTTGTAGCTGGCGAGACCACGTGGCTTGGTCTGACCTCGGTGAAGTTGGCTCGACGAAAAGGCTTAAAATGGAACTTGGTCGTTCCTGAATTAGTCCAGTGTAACTTAACGGACTCATAACTTTAACAAACAAAAGAAATAAAGAAAATAAAACAAACTGAAGGCAGATCGATGTCTCGGCACTTCAGGTGTGTAGCTTTAAGCGAACAAAGGCCTGTTTGTTTCGCTGGCCGAGTCTGGGCGTGTTGCCTGGCGAGGCACGCTACGCGCGTGCCGAAGCATCCAGAGAAAGGGAAGAGACTAAGAGTCTAGAGTGAAGAGTCTAGCGAAGAGGTCGCGTGTCGCTCTTTTGTTGCCTGGGGCGTGGTTCCCCAGGGGGCGTCTCAGGTTTCCCCAGGGACTGCCTTTCTGAACTTAATGTCTAAAGAAAAGAAATCTATTTGCACGTATTATAATCAAATATTTTCCACAATCGAACCTCAATGGTTGAACGGTTGTACTGTTCTAAGCATTTGGTAAATTGTCACATTATTGGTCAGGATTTTTATACATTTAACCGCATTTCCGACGAGGGCATGTAATACTTATTTCGTCCACTTGGGGGAGCTCAGGTTACATGAGGAAAGCTTGGATTAAATCAAAGATCGTCTCTCCTTAGGAACCGGGGAATATTGTTGATTCATCCTTAAATTCAAGCTGGCGATTAAGAGTATAGTAAAACATTTCTTTGTCATCATTTCTAAAGGGATTTTGTAAGAAAGTATTATGAACAAGCATTGATTACATCAGATGAAGGAGTGTCTTGCTGAAAATAAAAACATTGCACAAGTAACTTCTTTTCAGCACTAATATCAACAACCGATAGCAACAACAGTTAACATAACTACTCAAATAGAGGCAAACGTATTCAGGTAACTAAAGATTTAATTAAATTTAATTAGATGCTTTGAGTCTTTTGGAGAATGCAGTCCTTTGTCATCCAAAGTTCAGTGTCTGGAACATGTCACACTTAGGTGAGACAAGGAGTATCCTTTTGATGTGGTAATAAACAAAGAATAAGGTCAGTTTCCACGGAAACGTGTGTGGTGGGGTAAGTTTTGATAGGCTGTTCAGGGAGATGCCAATGGCTGGCTCGTGTCCCTTTGTCAGTTTAACAGTCAGGCCCCGCGTTATCAGCTTCGGAATCAAAATGGTGCCAGTTTTATGGTCGGGCTAGCACTTAGAGAAAGCAACTTTGACCCCCCCCATCTTCTCTGGGGAGGAGAAAGGAATTTAGGGTAGCTCCACATTTATTCCATGAAAAATGCACAAATCCACACTGTTGTTCACTACAATTTATTGTTTTTGTTTGTTTTCTTTTTTCTTCCACATTTACCTCATTTGATTTGAATCAGTTTCACCAGTAAAACAAACAAAAAATAAATAAATCAAGATGAAGAGTCAGATAGAGAGGTCAGAGAAGAGGAAGATGATTTCTTTGCTTAAATCACGATTTGATTTTACAACTTCTGTTTTGTTAAAATATCTACATTTTCGGTGTCATACTTTGATGTGTATAATGTTTTAATCTTCAATGACATAGTTGTAGATATGTGAAGTCTAATAGTGATTTGAAGTTGGAACGAAGTTGACCATAATGATGTGAAAGGAGGGATTGTTGAGTTTTAAAAAGTTACAACAAAACTTAATGTGTTTCAGTGTTTTCCTTCAAATGTAAACCTGCTGGGTTTTAGGCCAAACGATTGCATCAGAATGTTGATTAAACCATTGTTTGTATCCTCTTTGTAATGTGAAGAAAACTGACACCTCTTTGTTTAGTGCCAGAAGGACTGTTTTGTTTTAACTGTTTCATTGACACTTAAGATAGGGTGTCAGCCATTTTGTAGACAAGCCCTGTTGTTCTCTATGATTAGTTTAGAGCAAAAGACTGATTATTCCTGTAGATTGAAGGGGGTTTCACGTCTGGGATCGGCGTAACTCTGAATACAATAATGGTACACCCTTCCTAATTGGATGACGAAGAAACCAACCAACGACCAATGACTATGGACCTAAGCCATGCGGAGGAAAAAGGACCCGCCCACATACCTGGAGGATATAAACAACTCATTATGAGATAATCGGGACTGTAAGCTGTAAATCTGAAAAGAGGAACAACTTTCCAGTCCACTGCAGAGTTTTTGTTTTATGTTTGTTCTGTAATGCCATCTTTTATTCACCTATTTTTTAAATAAAATTTTCTTGTCAATTTTCATCGGATCCAGCCTCTCCTTTCTCAAAATCTGAAAAAACGCAACAGCTAACACTACCGTACTGTAGCTTAGATGTTAGCGACTTTAGCTTAGCAGCTAGCGATGGTTTCTCTTTCTCCTCCCCTGCTCTCTCCTGCTCGGTGTGTAAGATGTTCAATTACTCATCTGCCTCCTTTAGCGGTAATGGTGCGTGTAACAAGTGTAGTTTATTTGTAGACATGGAGGCAAGGCTTAGTGAGTTAGAAGTCCGGCTCCGCACCTTGGCAGATCAGTCGTTAGCTACTGTAGCTATCCAGCTCCCGGTAGTCGGTGCAGACCGACCTGAGTAAGCCTCTGATTGCTGTCCCCCGGCATCTCCTGAGCAGCCAGGAAAGGGTGGCTGGTGACTGTCTGAAACAGTCGTAAGCATTCAAAGTCCATGGGTCACCACCAACCTGCTCACGTTTCTAAGAGATTTTCCTCACTCAGTGCCACACCTGCTATTGGCACCTCCATTATAATGACTCCTGGTTATCGGAGGTCACTAAGATTAATGTTAAATCGGTGTGTACATATGAAAAAAACAATGTCGGACACCGTAGTTTTCTCTGGACCCCTGCCAAATCTTACCAGTAATGAAGTGTCCAGCAAACGATGTGGGCTGTTACCCACCCAAAACCCTAACTAGTCTAACACATTTCTCTGCTCCTCCATTTCAGGAGTTACCTAGCCAAAACCCCGTAGTGAAGGTGTCTGCCCCCCAACCATTGAAATTATTTAAATCAAAGGTAAACAGAAGAGGAGCAGTGCATAAAAACCTTGTAAGTAAGTAAGTAAGTAAAAGTTTATTTCTATAGCACCTTTCACAGGTATAGGGCCACAAAGTGCTTCACAACAAAAACATTAATATCATAAAATACACACAATAAAAGCATAGACAGTACATGATCATATCAACCCACAAGTAGCTAATTGAAAGCCTGAACAAATAAATGTGTCTTTAGTCTGCATTTGAAGGCATCAACAGAATCAGAAGAGCGCATAGATGGTGGAAGGTCATTCCACAACCTAGGGGCAACAGCCTGAAAAGATCGGTCACCTCTAGTACGGTAGCGAGTGCGTGGAACCGTCAGCAGGTTCTGATCCACAGACCTCAGAGCACGCACAGGGGTATAACGCTGAATCAGGTCACTAATATAGGGTGGAGCCTGGCCATGTAAAGCTCTGAAAACTAAAACCAAAATTTTAAAATTTATCCTATAAGACACTGGTAGCCAATGAAGTTCTTTTAGGATTGGTGATATGTGAGACCTCCTATTGGTACGTGTTAAAATTCTGGCTGCAGAGTTTTGTACTAATTGCAGTCGAGAGAGCTCCTTCTGGTTTAGGCATAAAAATAAACTATTACAATAGTCTAACCGCGACGACACAAAGGCGTGAATGATTAGCTCCAAATCATTTCTTGAAACTATATTTCTAAGTTTTGAGATTTTCCTTAATTGAAAGAAGCAGTTTCTCGTCAGCTGCTTGCAGTGCTGCACTAACGACATGTCTTTGTCCAGGACAACTCCCAAATTTCTAAGACTTTGCTTAGCAGACTGGCCTAAATCACCCAAGTATTGTTTAATTCCTGGAATTGCATCCTCAGGGGCAATGATTAATGTTTCTGTTTTGTCTGCATTTAGCTGCAGGGAGTTTTCACTAAAATTTAAAATAGTCCAAAAGAATAGGAGAATTCAGTGTGCACTCTTAAACATCAGATCCATCTCTTTTAAATGAATTAATATCATATTATTCTTACTGAAACCTGGCTGGGTGATGGAGAATTTGTTAGCCTAAATGGATCCACTCCTCCCAGTCATATACTCACATTCCTCGAGGCACAGGCCGAGGAGGTGGAGTTGCAGCTATTTTCGACTCTAGTCTTCTAATCAGCTATAAACCTAAACTAAATTATAACTTATTTAAAGGTTCAGTGTGTAATATTTCTAAGGATCTATTGACAGAAATACAATACAATATCCATAACTATATTTTTATTGGTGTATAAAGACCTTACCATTATGTTTTTATTACCTTAGAATGGACAAAACAGCGCCACAGAGCGCGTCCCATCATCACGGCTTTCTTCTTCTGCTTGTATAATTCCGGTAGTGTAGATGCCCGTCACTACATTGAATATGTACAAAGAAGAAGAAGAGGAAATAATAACAGTAATATACAGTCTCTGAGTAGTCTTCTGGTTTATTAGAAGAGAAGTGACATCTGGACAAATGAAGGAGTACACACGTTATTTAGCACGAGAGCCAACAGCCTGTGGATCTTTATACCATGAAGCCAGACGAGTCGGGACAGATACAAACAGCTGACGGCAGAAATCACGGATGTTGTGGATTTTCCCAGATGGAAGGCTATAATGTGGGACAGATTGTGCTGCTCAGAGCAGTGCTGAAGTTGTCTGTTTTCTGCTTAGCAATGCAAAAGAAAGCTGTTGTTTGATAGCTTTAGCTATTAGCTGGCCATAATCACGAGAGACTTGACATGTTTCCCCTGTTAGTGGTGTGAAATATGGATTCATTTCATGTCGCCTACTTATTCTCCAGCCTGTGGTTTGGCTTAGCAGGTTATGGTTACCTTAGCGAGACAATCAGCTGATCAGTAACATTAATTGCCAATAAAACCATAATGTTAGCTTAGAGCATGGAAGCATTAGCCAGCTAAACTTTTACAGCACTGGTAGAAAAATATGTAACATTAGTTGGATTGGTTTATTCTCCAGCGCTGGCTTTTGCTTGTGGTGTAAACTTCATGTAGTTTCTTTCTCTCTCTCTCTCTCTCTCTCTCTCTCTCTCTCTCTCTCTGGGCTTTGTCTGTTATGTTTGTGAGACAATCAGCTGATCACTAATTGGCAATTAAACCACAGCTTCCAGTATGGGAAGCTCAGATCGGCCAGCTAAACCTTTACTGCGCGTAGAAAAATATGTAGTTGGATTGTAATTTCATGTAGTTATTCTCCAGCGCTCAGTTTGGCTTTGTTACATGGACAGAAATGTGCCCTTACCTTCCTGAGACAAACAGCTGATGAATATTATTGGCAATAAAACGGTAACAGCAGAGAAGCTCAGATCAGCAGCTAAACTTCACATTTTACTGCCCTGGTGGAAAACATGTATTTCTTTTTACTGCTAATGGTGATATATAACAAGACCGTGTGCCTATCAAGTGACCAATAATGAATACTTTACAAATTTGCATTAAAAATTAAAAAATTAAAAAGAAGCATGTTTTTTAGCATATTGCTTCCCCACTGTGCACACAATGTGTAATTTGTACTTTCAATTAATGCTAAATGGCCATTAAAAACATTGAACCATTTTAAAACAAGCTGAAATTATGGCTGTCAGTACTACTTTGTGTTTCTGTTTTATTTCAAAAAAAAAAAAAAAAAACATTTTGGTAATATTTGAATTTGAATTTCTTCATCAGTGTGAGAGCTGTAGCTCTTTATTATTATTTATTCCGCCGTTTTTTGGCATGTATCATCTCTTGTACCGTTTGTCCTACAAACTTGGTTTCAACTTCAAATTGTACATCTTCTTCATGAGATGGTGCTATTACCTGTGTAGCTGATATCTGTAATGGTTGATTTTATATTAATATTTTTATGCATTTTTAAATGAATGGGTTCCGATGGGACTCCTCTTCCAACCTGGTGGGGGTGGAGCTAGACTCCCATGATGCGTGGTGGTGAAGAAAGTTTTGTTAAAATTTGCTAATAAGTCTCCTATTTGTTTGAAATACAAATGTTACTTTATTATGTATTTGTTAAACATGTCTGCTTAGAAAACAGTGGTTTTTGTTGGTAATTGTCATTCTTGTGGTGGTTTACTAGTGAAACCAGGAGTGAAGTGCCTGTTTCATTTGATAAGAACAGCTGCATTGGTAAGTACGCAATAGTGTAGTGGCAAAGAAACAGCTGTCAGAGTACTATTTCCTGCACCTGACATTGATTTGATTCAAGATGTTTATATATTATAGCTTGTGAATTTACAGAGCTGTTTGTTGTTTGAACTTTATGCTAACAAAATGTGGTGTCCTTACTGACTTTCAGTGGTTATTTTCAATGTTGTTAGATTTTCTAAATGCAATCATTGTTTACATGATATTAAGTCTTTCACAGCATAATTATTTGGCTGTTTATTTATTTTATTCTTCAACAGCGGAGTAGACATCACAGAAAATATGTGTATACCAAAACATGCCTTCTATTGGTGCTTAGGAGTCAGAATGTGTCAGAATAAGACACATGATTGACAAAGAAACTTGAAAGCCTTCCCTTCACAGTGTATGAGTAGTCCGGTGGTTTAGGTCTTGGCTCTTGCTCTGGATCCAGAGATTGATGGCTCAAACCCCAAAACTTAACATATATGTTTGCTGAACAAGTGTGTAGCACATCATTGAGTCTCTTAGCTGATGGAGCCGCACATTGTACTGACAGTGGTAGCAATTGCAAAAAATAGCTGGCAGCTCTCACACACATTTTCTTAAGGAAATGCCCATTCTAGTTATTTATTTATTATATATAACCCCATTTTCGGCGTTTATCTTCTCCTGCACCATTTGTCCTAGAAAATTCGAACTTCAAAATGTACATCCTGTTCAAGAGATTTATGCTATTACTTTTATTGCTGATATCTGTAATGGTTGATTTTATATTAATATTTTTATGTGAAGAAAAATGAATGGGTTTCAATGGGAGAACTTTCTACCAACATACTCAACTTAAAGGGCTAAATGCACCGGCATATGTGCAGCTACAGACTCCATTTGAGTTGTAGTTTGTAGAAAAGATGTTGATATTTCAAAGTTGTATTTGGTGTTTGTTAAAATTTTTAGTTTAGGAGCTATGCCCTTCCAAACTGAAGGGTTTTACTGCTTTTAGCAGACTTTAGAGAGTGTCATGTGATTACATTAGCCGATCAGTCATATCTCATTATCTGAAGCATATCGGGGAATGAATTTGGCCGAATAGAATCAAATGCATTGTCGCGCTCGGGGAGTCATGTTGCTGTGCTGTGAGAGAGCCACACAGATACAGTTCAGGCAGCTAGTTCCTGTCCTCCTTCCCTCTGTCTTTGCGTGATTCACTACAGGTAACAATGTGCAGATTGAAGCTACATGGCAATCTAAGCTTAACAGTTAGACTACAGACAGCTTTCATTTAGCTCGTTGTACATCTAGCTTTGCCAAGCTAGCATTAGCGCGGTGTGCTTTTAATAACATAGAGGATGAGAGACGGGGACAGAGCAGATCGAATAACCCCTTGTACATGTTATGCTCGTTTAATGGATGTATCGATAAAGTCATCTTTTACTCTTGAGGTTTTGTTGCACATACTGCAGTGGCAAGGGTGGCTGTTGTCAACTCAAGTAGCTTTGAGTTACCTTCACTTCAACTTGTCCACGGCCTATGTCTGCAGTTGCCACTGTTTGTGCATGTGTGTGTCCATGTGCGGGAGGCGACACAGAGCAGCGCAGGCTGCAGCCTGATAATAAACAGTACAGTCTTCAGCCCCAGGCCCGTGGCCCGTTTAACACCATGCTTCAGTGCCCACCTAGTATCTGATTAAACAATCACATATGTCTGTTCTGTTCAGTACAGGGGTTCTTTACTGCTGCGCTCTTCCTCTGACTTTCCTTTATGGACATGGATGGGCAAGTTTTTCCTTGCCTCTGTCGCCTACTGCTTGCTCTTGGTGGGAATTGATGAGTTTCTGTAAATAATATCACAGAGTATGGTCTAGACCTGCTCTTTTATGAAAAGCACTATGAGATAACTGTTGTTGTGATTTGGCGCTATATAAATAAAATTTAATTTATTTTATGTACAGTTAATGTATTCATAAATTGTCTTTTGGCCTCATCTCTCTGGTCCAGTGGGGACCCTACTGGCTCCAATCTACAAATACAGCGATTGATTGTAAGAATTACTGGTGGGCTAACTTACTGTTGATAAACAATCTCCACCCAGTCAGTGATATAGTAAGTTTAAGCAGTAATTTAGACACACATGCTGTTTAGTAGCTCCAGTTTATTTCGACATCTTTGACCTTTTCTTAACATTTTATTCCTCAGTGTATTCCTTGGACTTGGTACCTGTCTATGGACTTCCAGTGCCACCACTCCTCTGTTGGTCTATTTTTACAGACAGTATGTACTTTCATATGATTCTAAAAAATTGCAACAGTTTAGTCCTCAGTTAAATTACCTTGGAAAAGATGCATTTTTGAATCATGGCCACCGCTGGGGCCATTTCACACAACGATTGTTGTTCTGTAAACTTATTCATCCTGTCTTTTGTTTGTCAGAAACAGAGGTGAGCTGAAACAGCTGTTTCTGGAGGCCTTCTGCTGATGACCACCGTGACCAGTGCTATTGTAGCTACACTTCTACAGCTGCCAGTCGTTCTGCCGTCTCAACTGTAAGACTTCGTTATAGAGATGTAGTACTAATCCAAACAGTTTAGGAACCAAATTCATGAAATGTAAGGTGACTTACAATTAAAGGGGCTATATGTATTTTTCAGTGGCGGTTTTCAGACTGCAACCTGGTGTGTGCTCGTACATGTGTTCGAACTCATGAGCAAGCATAATCTGACACACAGAGACTGAAACACCGGGAGACAGCTTCAGACAACATGACACATGACACGTCGACATTATCTTGTCTGCCCCGTTACAATAACTATTTGTGTTCTCTTTCACCAAAGGCTCAGCAATGTCAGCACAGCTCAATGTATTAATAACGATAGGATGATGATATGAAAACGGAAACGGTTAGTGAGCTAGACTGAATATCATAAATTAGATTGTAGATTAGTCTGTAGTAAGTGCTGAGTGGGTCTTCCACTGTAGTGTTGTCCTGCACCATTATGTTGCATTATTGTATACTGTGTGAGTCACGCAAGTTACAGTGACTGAGACGGTGGAGAAGCTGTATCTGTAAAGACAATAAATCTAAATTGAATGTAACAAAGCAAACAGCGGTAGAGCCACACAAATGTTGCATCACTATAGACTAGTATAAACTAATCACTCCACATTTGCTTTTTACTGATACATAACTTCTTGCAGAAAAAAATCAACACTTTGACATAATACTGATGGTACACTGTATAGTAATATGGATTGTGTTAGCTGGGGAAGTAATGTAGAAAGCCATACAACTGTAGTATTTTGCACATAACATTAGCAAATAGTCACCATTAGCCAACACGCTAACCTTAGCTAACTTGAGCCAACTAAAGCACAACATCACAATATATTTCACATGCAGTAATGTTAGTTTACCTGTCCAATAGGATGAAAGTCAACTGTGTGTGGGTTTTGTCGGTGTCAAAACAAAGCAGAGGTCTCTCAGGCATTTCCAGTGTTGACAGTGTTTTCATCAGACCCCAGTTTGTGTTGGAGTCTGTTGTTTATTGCTTATTGGTTTATTGTTTATTGGTATTAGCGGACTCCATCTCGTTAGCTGCAGATATTGATGTCTTGAGGTTTAGTCTCATTTTTTACACATTATACCTGTAACAAATATGAATACAAATAAAGCAGTAGCATATCTGTAAGCTTCCTGTTAAGTGAAATGTGAGTAAAAGCTGGACTTACATGAGAGCAGAAATTAGTATTAAAAATATGTGCCCCATTTTCTCTCACTGTTTCTCCAGGTTTTATCCAGACCCTCGTTCCAACATTAGTTTTGCCTGCTATCTGTCACATCCTGTCTTCATTATCCTGTACACTGGCGTGCAACAGACCCCAACTCAGGCATCAACTTCGTAAGTACTTCAGACAGCACATTTCATTCAGTTTTATCAAGCCTAGCTGATGCAGAGGTATTGATGTACTGTATGTTTCTACTTCAGATGTACTAGTTCCTTGGCTACCTTGTGCTCACACTGGTTGTGAGCTGTGTTTACTGTGCTGGTTGAGAAGCCCTACCTTCACTTAAAATGGAGTAGTACATAGAAACAAATCAGCACATGAAGGACTTCTCCAGTGAATGACCCTAATCATATATTTCATGTACCTTGTCAGTTAGGCCAGTGCTCTTGTTGAAGTCCTCTTTTTTTAGAAAATAATCCTGTTTGTTCTGAAGGTTTTTACAGTAATTTCTGAGTGTTTACTACTTTTCTATTGTAACTATTGTTCAATAGTTGACAGAGAGTTGATATGGATTACATCTTGCAGGTGACACAAAAAGGTGAGATCTTTGTACATGATGTAATCTACATATAAAGATTATGTGTTGTCTACATTTTCACGATTACCATCTAATCGAAGGAACGATAACAAGGTCAAATAACTGCATTCAAATGTCAATTGTTCATGCAGAAAAAATGTCTATTATTCAGGATTAGTTGTGATTTTCCATAAACATGATATTATTTACTGTTTCTCCACACAGTGTAATTTCAAGTTGGAAATTATTAAAAGAGGACTAATACAGCGAAAAGGACTGCCCTCTTGTGGAGGACAAGATTAGTGTGATAGGCTTCCTTGTGACCACAAATAACAACATAAATAACTCTGGCCACCATTTCACTGCACTTTCCATGGCAGTGAGTCAGAATTTACAAGTGACACCGACTTAGCTAATGAGATCATAACAAAGGGTATCTGTTTCTTATGACGCAACGCCCAGACCTTTCCATCTTAGCACTTGAGTTATGCAGGGCATGTGCTACGTTGTGTGTTGAATTATGTTGAGTAATGCTTGCCAAACAACCTCAAATAAATACCTTGATCCTTCTGCCACTGTTTTTGTTGATGTGTTGATTTTCACTGGAGTATAGTTGTTAAGCTCAGTGTTGATAACGTGTCTGTCTAAGTCGTTCAAAGTTTCTATCATGTTTGACACCAGGATGGAGATAAATGATATCCTCCCAGAAATTTTGGCCATCATTTCAAGTTTCAGCATTCAATCTGCTTACTTGAGTTATGTTTTATTTCAAAGTTTAGGCTAGACTATTAAATGTCTGGTGGTGTAAGCTAAATGCAAAATATGGTTATGTTGAAGATATTTTATTTAGCATTTAGCTGTTTGAATATTCCACATGCCTGTCTTGAATAACTTCTAAATACTAGGATAATGTTTAAGATGTTTATTAAAATGTTTATTATTACACTTTTTGTTATTATCAACTTGATGTCTTATTTCTGATGTCCCATTTCAGTCTTATTTAGAAGTGTCTTGTTGTTTTGTCATGTTTTAGGGTAGAATACACTATTGTTTTAATATTGAATATGTGTGGATGGTGGAGGTGAAAAAGGTGAGTCTTACCATAAGAGCCACAAGAGGAGGAGCAAGGACATATCAACCAATGTAATACAGAGCTCAAATACACATGTATTAGATGTATTTGTTTTATTTTCTTGAAATTATCAGTAAACTTTATACTACTTTAATTTGAACTTTACTGGAATCTGGAATCTGTGTCTCATTGAAAAGAATACTATTTGAAAGGACCACAATTCATCCAAGTTACAGTTACATCCAAGAGCGTAAAGTGTGAGAGTGTGGGCCTGTTAGGCCTCTGGTCCGGTCTGAGGGTTTTTCCTCACACGGTTTGCCGTTTCTTTCATAACACTTTGGCATTGTGTCTCATATCTTTTATTTGCCTGCTATGGCCCTCCTGCCTTAATTGGTTCTGGAAAAGCATCTTTTAGCTGACTCCGTCACATATCCACACAAACAAAGCCCAGTAGTGACACACACTTATTTCATGTGCAGCACCATTTTCCACCTGGTCCTGTCTGGGGAGTTTAGGTAAGGAGGCCAGACGCCAGGCCGAGAAAGACTCTGCAGCAACATGGTGTAAAAATATATCTTGCTTTGGTAAGATGACACTTCCCTCACTATGACTACAAGAGTCCACGTCCAATCCAAAACCCCACAACAGCATGCTCAAGATGGTGTAACATGTCTTGGACTGAGCATTTTCAAATGTTTAACAAGAACAACACTGTTTTGGAGAAAGAAAAGATTTAGTATTCTTTTTGTTACGACCTGGCTCAAAAGGCCACAACAAATGGGAGACACACCATGGTAGAAGTTTAACAGAATGTTTATTAAACCATAATTACCCAAATAAAGGCTGATGCCAAAGTAAAGGTGAAAAAGTATAGGGTATGAACATCAGTGGTTTCAGTCAGGTCAGGATGATGGATGCATGGAAAATGTGTGTGAGGGTGTTGTAATGTGCAAGAAATAATAACACAACTAAAACAGCATGTCCAGAAACCAAGGCAAAGGTGGAACCTGTGCAGGGAAACAGATGGTAGCAAGTTTGATCAATTGATCAATCCATCTGTCCGTCCGCAGCTCTTCCTCTACAAGGGAGAGAGAGGCCACACCCACTCATGACCCCACAGGGCGTCACATTATAGTTACAGAAATACTGATTTTGGCTAAGATCCTATTCAGTTAATCTCTGTATTGATTACTTATTGCCCTACGGTTCACTTGCAATCTTAACCCATCAGCACACACATACAGTATCCTTTAACATCTACAGTACATCATCATAAATCCTGCCTTCCTAAAGTCATGTTCAAGTGCTTCTTGGTGACTCAATTAATGTAATAGCCAGTCAGGTGATGTGACCCATAATGAATGAAGCTTTTTTTAAACAAAGAAAACACAGTAGGCTCAAATCCAATTAATACACAACAACTTCCCCACGCACATATGCACCAATAGTCCAATAATATAATCCAATCCAATCCAATAATAATCTGATGCTTAGTGGATTTACAAGCCACCACAAGAACAAGTGTTTGGATAGAAGTGTTACATAAATCATGAAAAGAGATAAAGGACATGACACCATTTTAATGGTTTGTGTCCTCATCCTCTTCTGTTTATTGTTCTCGAAATGATAAATTAAACCCTTTGTAGTGTGTGTGTGTGGGGGGGGGTTGTTCATTCATAAAACTCGTCACTGATTTCTCGTACACACACACTAACAAAATTGACAGTGGTTAGTACACAATAGCTGGATGGGTGCAGTGAGAAGTAGTAGCTAAAAATAGTATTATTTATTTATTTATTATATTTATTTTAATCAGACTTGAGACATTGCAGTTGTATTTTAGGGTCTCAGTTATTAAAACCACTATTTACAATGTGGTGATTTTAAAAAGCATGAAGTATCCACTCCCGCCACCTGTCACAGGAATGATGATGTCTGAGCCATAAATTACTCTTGGTTACAAAACCGGACTTCAGAAACAACATTTGGTAGCTGTAGTAGCTACGTTTCTGTATAGAGGAAAGTTTACAACTCTGAAACAATGTTTGATCCAACCAAATGATGATACCATTTCAAGTTTTTTCAAGCAGCTAAGGAAAAGGGTAATGAAAATTGCTAATGCTGTGACAGTAAGGATCTGGAGAGGCCTGTCGATAGTGACTGTTTCAAGGCAGCTTCAAGGCATGAAGTCATGTACAATAGCTTTGTAGCAGGAATAAGGCACTAAAAGTTGCCAAGCAGCAGCTTAACAGCATGGGAAGTAACTGGGAGAAATTGATGGGAAGATCTTGAGAAAATCCCCTAAAAGAATAAAAAGTAAGTAAAGTTTTATACAAATGTGTAATTACCACTGCTCAAAAAAAAAATAAAGGGAACACTAAAATAACATCCTAGATCTGAATGAATGAAATAATCTCATTAAATACTCCTTTCTTTACATAGTTGAATGTGCTGACAACAAAAACAAACAAATTAAAAAATGGAAATCGAATGTATCAACCCATGGAGGTCTGGATTTGGAGTCACACTCAAAATCAAAGTGGAAAAGCACACTACAGGCCGATCCAACTTTGATGTAATTTCCTTAAAACAAGTCAAAATGAGGCTCAGTAGTGTGTGTGGCCTCCACGTGCCTGTATGACCTCCCTACCCCGCCTGGGCATGCTCCTGATGAGGTGGCGGATGGTCTCCTGAGGGATCTCCTCCCAGACCTGGACTAAAGCATCCGCCAACTCCTGGACAGTCTGTGGTGCAACGTGGCGTTGGTGGATGGAGCGAGACATGATGTCCCAGATGTGCTCAATTTGATTCAGGTCTGGGGAACGGGCTGGCCAGTCCATAGCATCAATGCCTTCCTCTTGCAGGAACTGCTGACACACTCCAGCCACATGAGGTCTAGCATTGTCTTGCATTAGAAAGGAACCCAGGGCCAACCGCACCAGCATATGGTCTCACAAGGGGTCTAAGGATCTCATCTCGGTACCTAATGGCAGTCAGGCTACCTCTGGCGAGCACATGGAGGGCTGTGCGGCCCCCCAAAGAAATGCCACCCCACACCATTACTGACCCACCGCCAAACCAGTCATGCTGGAGGATGTTGCAGGCCGCAGAACGTTCTCCACGGCGTCTCCAGACTCTGTCACGTCTGTCACATGTGCTCAGTGTGAACCTGCTTTCATCTGTGAAGAGCACAGGGCGCCAGAGGCGAATTTGCCAATCTTGGTGTTCTCTGGCATATGCCAAACGTCCTGCACAGTGTTGGGCTGTACACAACCCCCACCTGTGGACGTCGGGCCTTCATACCACCCTCATGGAGTCTGTTTCTGACCGTTTGAGCAGACACATGCAGATTTGTGGCCTGCTGGAGGTCATTTTGCAGGGCTCTGGCAGTGCTCCTCCTGCTCCTCCTTGCACAAAGGCGGAGGTAGCAGTCCTGCTGCTGGGTTGTTGCCCTCCTACGACCTCCTCCACGTCTCCTGATATACTGGACTGTCTCCTGGTAGCGCCTCCATGCTCTGGACACTACACTGACAGATACACCAAACCTTCTTGCCACAGCTCGCATTGATGTGCCATCCTGGATGAGCTGCACTAACTGAGCCACTTGTGTGGGTTGTAGACTCGTTCTCATGCTACCACTAGAGTGAAAGCACCGCCAGCATTCAAAAGTGACCAAAACATCAGCCAGGAAGCATAGGAACTGAGAAGTGGTCTGTGGTCACCACCTGCAGAACCACTCCTTTATTGGGGGTGTCTTGCTAATTGCCTATAATTTCCACCTGTTGTCTATTCCATTTGCACAACAGCATGTGAAATTGATTGTCAATCAGTGTTGCTTCCTAAGTGGACAGTTTGATTTCACAGGAGTGTGATTGACTTGGAGTTACATTGTGTTGTTTAAGTGTTCCCTTTATTTTTTTGAGCAGTGTATATACAGCAGACATGAGCAACTGAAGAAATAAAGTGTAACAGCACAACAACAAGAAGTGTGAAACTATAAATAATGAAAGGTGCCTCAAGTGACTGTATTTCACTGTTTATACCCAACTCGGTAGACTCCTGAGGAATCTACTACCTTTTTTCCAGGTTTGGAGTCAAGTTAATGCTCTAAAACATAAAGAAATCTTTTTACACATTGGGAAATATACTTATTTTTCATATCTGTCTGTTCAAAATAGGGCTGTAGCTAGCAGATGGTTAGCTTAGCTTAATGGAAGAGTAAGTGATTCTGCAGAAGGATTGTTGATGTTTGAACTCACCTGCCAAACAAATAAAACCCTTCCCTTCAGTGCTCCCTCAGGCGCTAACCCCCCAACCGCCACCCCCCCAATTTTCAAATCTTACCTTCGCCCTTTCCTGGTCATATAACTGTCTTCTCTGTTCTCTTCATGCCTTTCCCTTATTGGCTGTTTTTGCCTGGAGTCCAGTACGTTCGAATGTGATGGTGAATAGAACTCTCTCCCACTGGCCCCCTCACTCCTGTGCACAAGCACTAACGCCACCTGTTGCTGATTGGCTGGAACAATGTTGTGTGGCAAGGTCCACACCACTTTTCAGAGTCAGGGCTGTGTAGGAAAACCAAATTTGTTTTTAGAACTCACACAAAACGGAGAGATAGCAAACCGTGAGGAAATTTTCGCTTCATTTAACAAAAGTGTATTGGATTATAATCACCTTTAACATATAAAGACAAACAGGTGGAAAAATTCCCAAACTGTCATACTATTCCTTTAAATCTGCATCAGAATCCAAGCAACTTAATGTACTTCGACTGAAAGTACGCCCTCTTTCCTATAAAGTATCAATGGGCACTGGAAACCCGGCAAGCTAAAGTGTCGTACAAAAAACGCACACAGACACAGGCCATCATGACAATCACACTTTCCAACTAAATTAGAATCATTGGAGCATTTGAATTATTAGAAACTGACCTGCCATTTATGTCATCAAGGATTAGTTTGTGTTCACTGCTTATGAAATGAGTAATTTGGCTAAATGAGAGGCAAAGTCACATTTAATCACTGTTACACCGGGGTGAGATAATTGACTACTAATAATTTTCTATAAAAGCCAAGAAAGGTCTGGCCTCATTATGTTGTTTTGGCTACTGACAACAGTGCATTGTTGCTTTGCCAGAATAGTTAGCGGGTTGTTACTGTTGCTAGAATTGTAACCCTGGCTGTCACAGGTGCACTGTAAACACATGTTTACATTTTACTAATTGTTTTAGTGGAAATATATTTTATTGTATTTGTTTTTCCCCAACTCCAAGCTTCAACCTTTTTTTATCTATTTGCTTCTTTGCAGCTGTTGAATGTAAATGGATATTCACACAGAATATAATTTACAAGCATAGTTTCTACAAGCCTATAGAAACCTTCAGAAAAGCAGTAGCTAGAATGATAGAAGGATTTGATTAGATGAATTCTTTGAAAACTTAAACATTTTATTAACTTAATGAAATAATTAACAAGCTGGCCAGTGCCACAATGGGTTGAGTTTGACAGTGAAATACACTTTTTTATTTTAATACAGTTTTTATTTCTCTGCATACAGGATGTCTAAATTTGGCAAAGTTACTATCTAAAGATTAATTATTACTCTGTGTGTGCTTGTCTAAGTTTCTCATTATTTCTCACTCTGCACGAGTCAGAAACTTCCGTTAATTAATTTTCCAAAACAACCTCAAGTCCAAATCTTCCTGAGAGTCAGTCTGCAAAGTAGGCCACCAATGAAACAGCCTGTAAATATAGATATCAAGTGTTAAATGTTCAAGACCGGCACATGTCCACAATATCAGATAACTGACTTTGTACTTGTGGGGGACAACAGTTAAAAATAGACTCACACCTCAAGACCGCCGGCTCTGCCTGAGCTCATACTGAAGTCCTACATCATAGGTCTATATCCTCGACCACACGGCTATGAAAAGGGTACGTACTACATGCATGGCTAAAAATCCCCTTCACAGGCTCAGACAATTGTTTTAATGCTTCAAGCCACAATACTACTTTTATTATGTGTGATTCAGCTGTGAGGTAACTCGTTAGACATTTGTTTGTGTCTCACTTTGGGAAAGGTAATTGTTGTCAATTACACTGCTTCATCTGTTACAGCACTGCTGATAGGTTGACAAACACAAACACACACACCCACACACACTGCTGTGCTGCATGATACACATGATATACTTTGCCAAACATCGGAAGTAATTCCTAAAAGTGATTTACAAATATAATGGAACTATAATGGAACTATTTGTTTTGTTTTAGTTTAGCTCATTTCTAACTCAGTGCTGAAAAAGTCTTATATTTTGAGGCAGCTTGTGTTATTTTCGTATTTTCAAAACTGTGTTCAGATTAACTTAGTACGTTCTTGAGCTCACATCATTCAAGCAAGTGGTTCACATACAGGAGCTTTAAAGATGCAGCAGGCTCTCGGGGGTGTTGTGTGACCGAGATGTGGATCTCTTTTGGCACAGGCAGTCGAGATGAAATCGAATTACTCTTTCTTGCTCTCAGTCACGCAGGTGCTGACAGCTTTGTTGTTTTTTTAATGTCAGTACAGATCAAGCCCTATCTAATGCGCTAATCAAACATACCAACAAGATTCATTTCAATTTAAAACGTCAAAGTAGGTTACAACTCAGATAGATATATTTCTATAATTATGCAGGCCATAATCAAATCTAAATATGGTGTCAGTTTACTAAATGTTTCTATCATATTGGGTTAATTTAAGGAAAACAGAGTATATATCTTTGACGCTGTAAAGATAGAGGATGCTATTAAATGATGTATGAGAAAGTGACTTTATTGATGTACACTTAAAAATAACATTGTCATGCTTATAAAAGATTAGTTCAGTGACTTTTAACTCTACGATTAGCATTTTGTTGGGTTTTTAAAGCTTTTGCAGCCTGAACATTTTGTGAAATTTGTTTTTATTCAAGGTGTATGTCAACAGACTTACTAAAGTTAGGACCTGTAGTAAACATTTCAGGCTTGAGGGCTCAGCTAGGTGTCCTTCACTGCAGCAGGAATGTGACAAATGCAGGTCATGGGTGAAGATGTACTGGTATTTTTCCAGAGTCTGTTCCACCACTTGCCCTACTGCAGTCTTGTATATCAGGGTGCATGTTTTGAAGCCTCCCCTTTCAACACTTCGTATCTGGCAAATGATCAGGTAATGGGCAACACAGACAAGAGGATTTTAACTTATTTTAAACATCTTTTTACAAATTATAAAGTTTGGAATTTCATGAATGTTGAGGGAACTGGCAACAATTATACTACATAAACCTCCACAAACTGATTCTACAGATTGCTACAGATACTCTGCTCACTGGTTTTCAAGTGTGCATCAATTTAATTGTTTATAACAACTTGAATCAGAAGACTTGTGATTTTGCCCCTCTGTAACAACACAGCCACCACGTGCCAGGCATTTTTATCAGCTACAAAGTAACAACAACAGGAAGTTTTCCTGTTGATAAGATAAAGTGTCCTTCAAAAGCTTCTAAAATAGATGCAACATGCCATTTAAAGGCACATCTCTTGCAACTAAGATAAACAGCTAGGGGGAGATAGTGGGCCTTCCTTCAAACACTTTAGATCAAGGGGATCTGAGATTGAATGTCTGATTTTTCTAGTTTTGCAATTCAACTTTAACAGTGAAATATAATATATCTTTCTCTGATTCAATTTACAGGTACTGAATATAAAACAAAAGGATACAGTTGGACTAACAGGAAAAAATTACACCAGAAAAGTCAGACACAAATAATGTGCATGCAGAACTTAAGGCCCTTCATCCCTGAGGTTTCCGTTTGAAAGCTAGAGTCTTGCTGCTGACAAGCTCCTCGAGCAGCACAGCTAGAGGTCCCGATGGATCTGTCACTCCTTCACACGGATCGCCAAACACAGTCACCACCAGCTCTTACTGACAGTCAAAGTGGGGATTTAGACTCTCTTTCTATTCTGCACAGCCCCACAGAAAACATGCTGTCTGCATACCAGACAGGAGCAGACACTGTGCACAATTTCTCAGACCGCACTGACAAATCAACCGAGACTTTATCAAACATTTCCAAATGCCCCTCTCAGCAGAATAGCACTGACTCAGACTGTTTGAAGCCTTTATCATCCAGTAATAATATGTCGCTTTGCTCAGAGCCCGCACCTAAGGATGATGATTTCAGGGTTTGTAGCTATTTTGGCTCATCAGAACCTGTGTTACCTCTTCTACCTCACCTCTCTCATGATCTTATTTCCCCACTGTCTGGATCTTTTTCAGAATTTTACGTTAAACAAGAATCAGCTCTTTCCTTTTCTCTCATACAAGGGAATAGTACACCTCAATCTTTTGGGGTCATGTTGTCTACTTCTGAGGATTTGATGGAGCCATCAGTCACTGAGCCTCTCTCCAGCCGCGGCTTCAGTTCTGAACACAGTCAAGCCACTAATCTATTAAGGTCATTATCACATCAGTCAGATAGTTTAGAGAGTGACACAGCTATAGCACCTGTGTCAGACCTTTATATCTTTGAGAGTGAGACACAGGACTTCATCATGAACGTCGATGCCCAGGAGATTAAATGTCCTGAATACCAGCTGTTATCACAAACAGGGGGTGGAGAACCTGACTGCGATACACATGTCCTGATGTGTGAGTCAGAAAAGGTGGTGACACAATGTCATCATGGATCTCGTGAGGAACGAGCTTTGGTGGACTATGAGTCACATGCGAGCCAACATACAAGGATAACACCACCTGCTGTGGATGCTTGTGAGGCAGGCTTGATGTCAGTAAATGATGCGAGGCGAGGGAAAGCAGAGGTCACTAATTTAACCCCCCAGCCATGGCGAAGTGACAGCCCCATCGAGCTGTGGCTGGACGCATGCCAGTATCTGGTAGGTGAGGATACAGAAGATAGGGATGTTGATCACTCTGTGATGCAAGGAGGGCTCATGGCCACCGGTGACTTGTCTTTTCACGTTGGAGAGACGCAAGTGTCAGGTTACAACCCTGATGGTAGCGAGGGGGTTGGCTGGTCCGACAATGACGCCAGAGGCTGGGGGCCACCGGTTAAGAGGTGGTCGTCAATGGACAGCTGGGCAAGTGCACTCTCAGACTGGACTAATGTCATCACAGCTCCCCCCGAGGACTTTACAGCTGCCTTCACAGAGATAGGGGCTGAGATAGATGCTTTGACACAGGCTCTAGCAGAGGTAAACACTCATATAGATACAGAGGCATCTGTATCAAGGCATCAAGGAAAGGGTCAAGAGCCAGCAGTGCAGGCACAATCGCAGCCATCCATGGGTGTCCAGGATCAGCCTCTACAGGAACAAAACCTCCCGGAGAGCTCCGTCCTCTCTGGGCAGAGCCGTCTCTCTTTGTGCCTCGAAGCGGCAGGACCCGACCTCCAAGACAGAGAGGACTCCCAGAGTGTTGAATCTCTGTGTGATTCAACACCGACCACTCAAGGAGAAAAGGAACCGGAAGAAGTTAAGGTCAGTCAGGCTAAGAGCTCTTCATGCCCCACACACCAGCACTCATCCATGGGATCATCCGGTGCTACGGTGGCCTCTCCTGGAGGAGACAGTGTTGGTGTGATCCCTGGATCTACTTATTCTGCGGTTCTGGATCGTTCTCACTTTGGCGGATTTGTCGAGCGCATTTTCATCAGCAATGAAGAAGATCCAATCATACTGAATATTCTAGAAGATACAGATTTGGAGGGGCAAAATACACCTGCAGAGCTAATTATTGAGGAGGTAAGTTGACTTATTACATAGATTAGTACTGATTATTATCTCTTGTATAGTAAGATTTAGACTTATTATCTTGTACAATTTAGAAAAGTGTTTGAGAGAAGGAACGTTTGTGATGTGCTTTGATGTGAAGAGCATGAAACATGAGTCAATATTTCACTAAACTTGAGGACGATATGTTATTTATGTGTGTTGGTCCCACACATACAGACACAGAGACACTCTCAAACACATTCCACATTCCCTGAAGTGAAGAGGCAAAGAGAGAGAGAGAGAGAGCAGTGGAAAGATTCACCCTTCACGGAAGAGAGAGTAACAGCAATCACCTTCACATCAGTCGTGCTGGCCAACAGATAAATCAGTCATGTGCTTTGGAAACATGGCCAGAACATTAAGAGACATTCTCGCTCCTGCCCTTGTCAGTGTTGTCATACCTACAGTATTGATAGCCAGTCAGGAGGTACGTAGAGTAGTCCAGAGAGTGAAATCCACGTTTCTCACCACACATCAGTCCCTCGAGTATTTTCGCCTTGCTTTGGAGTGGAGCCACACATTTTGATTCTGTATTAGTGGTTAAGTCCTTTGGCTCTCATCTCAGAGACTGACAGGTGTGTGTGCTGAAGGAAATGGGAGTGCCTGGAAGGAAAACTTCAGACGGACAGAAATGGCATCTAATAATAGCTGAAAGTTCAAAGATAATAGCATGCATCCGTGCCGTGTCAGGGTAAAGGGGTGAGAGGAGAGCACAGCTGAGGACTGAAACATGACCCTTCCTTGCCCTCTCTCACTCTCTCTCTCTTTTCATACGCACCCTTTAACACACCCGTTCCCACCGCAGCTCCTTCAAAAACCCAGGACCCCAACAGGTCCACGGGCCTAGGAGACTGCTTTTGATGAGCTTAGTAGTGCAAGGATAAGCTGGAGTGTCTTGTCCATAACAGCGACTGTATAGGTTTCAGTTGCATGCAGGACATGTGGACTGTGGGACTGGATATAGGAGCATGGAGTTTCATAAACTACTGTTTTGTGGCTCTATAGAAAGGTATGTATTAATCAGGAAAAACTCAAAAGATGTGAAATGGCATGTTTTTGTAACCTACTACCTTTATACTGCATATAGATGTATAGTATGATATTACAGTGTCTCTGGAGTCTGACCGCCTTATTCTCAACGAGTATGACATATAAAAAACATGTCTCATGTCTCATAAAATTACCTCACATTTTTATTATTATCTGTCCATTTGCATTACCAGCCCTTTGGAGATGGACTGAGTAAAGTGACAGATGAACACAGTATCTCACAGCTGGGCTTGGTGTCCGAGAAGGAAGCTAAATGGAGCTGTGGGTCAGCTGAGGTTGATCGTGAAAGAACCGAATCTTCAACAGAGCTTAATTTCCTCAACGTACACACTCCGACAAACTCAAACGTGCCAGGTGTGGACACGCAACCTGGCCTTCATGTCAGTGTTCACACACACAAGTCTGACATTTTACCAGACCTTGACAGAGCATGTCATTTGGAGCCACAGTGGGGAAGTCCCAAGTTTATTATGCCCCTAGCTCCTCTCGGTGTCAGCTACTCCTCTGTCTGTCGGACAAGCAGAAGTTTGGAAGGAGATCAAACTTGTAGCAAAAGGTCTCTCAATGACAACAGAGACCTCATTTGTGATCACGTACAACCTTGCGTTCTCTGGCCGACCTCAGATAGGATTACTGACAAACCGTGTTTGGAAGGTAATGAGGAGTTGATTCATAAAGGAAATACAATAGACTCCTCTGAGAAATCTTCACCAGACGGGCAACTGGACTTCATCACTGCTGACACTGCAGATAATTTCCTCACTGCGAGAAAAAAAGCACTTGTGGAGTTTAATGACCTCAGTAGAGAACTATCAAACTTGGCTGTTGACCCTGCTGATCATTTCTTTATCTCAAAGAAGAACCGTGTTGCATTCATCACTTTAGATTTAAATGACCCCTTTGTGCCCAGGGCTGCAAAACCCATCGCCGCAGCCGTTAAATCTGAGAAGGCTGAGTTAAATCAGAACACAGCTGAAAAGATGCCTCACAAAACCCACAAGTCCACCTCAGACAGCAAAACACGCTCCAAAAAGTCAGCTGGTCATCATGGTGCACAAGCTTGCAAGAAACAGGAGAATTTGTCTCACCATGTTTCAGCTCAGCAGGTCTGCAAACAACAAGACTCTTGTCCTCTTACTGGAGAAAATCAAACCAGCGAGAACACGCCAGCTGGGCTTGAGGATAAGGAGGCTAAATTGGTGATTGAGACTAGTGTGACAACTGACAAGGCTTCAAGCAAGCCACATGGCAAAAAGAAAAAGAAACATGCTCAGAACGCAACAGGATTGAAAAGTGTAGAGGAGTCACTGGCCGAAGTGGAGAATGGAGCCAAACCAAAGACTGCAAAAGGAAGGATTGATATGTTTGAGGCCAAGCTGGGTGCTAAAGCTGGGAAAGCTCAAAAGGACAGTGATCAGTCACAACCACAGGCTAAAGCTTCCCAGAGAGAACAACCTCCACATCCTTCAGACCATAAAGACCACCAGCCAAAAAAATTCACCAGTCCCCTGAGCGATGATATTATTAAAAGACGACGCCTGTCAGAGGATAAGTTTGGGAAGATTGTCAGGGGTTTGGAGTCTAAACTACCCAAGCCAGATGTTTCTATCCAGGCAAAGGGAGAGGAGCCTGTGGTAGATGCCTGTCCAACTCATAAGAAAGCGTACAGTGAAGTGGTCAAACAGAAAATCCCACCTAAAGAAGGTAAAGGATATACATTTCCATTTTTCTGCTAGGAACTCTTCTATGACACAAAATAGGAGCGGTTCTAGCTGTTCTTCTGCATGATGGTATGTCAACACACATTATTTACCTCATAATAAAAGCATATGACAATGTCTACAGACCTCAAGGTGGTGCAGCCTATCCAGGCAGTGTCAGTGAGTGGGGACCCCCAGAGTCTATGCTTGTGGTGTCTGTTTGCGGCTGTCTTCTCCCACCACACTGTCACCTGGAGCAGAGGGGACGCTGTCCTGGCTGAGACCAAAAGAAGGTATTTAGATTAATTTTACATAATTTTTACAATGTATTTTCTCAAGTTTTACCTTCATCTTTACACAACACTTTCACTTAACACTGACCAGTCTCCTCTAGACAGTGACTTACCACATATCCCATTATCAAATTATCTTTGGCAAGTGGTGATGTGACAGTGGTTCTGTTAGCTAATCAGTTATACTGTCTATTTATAACTTTAGTTAACTTTTATATAACTTTATAACCTTTGTTTCCTTTATCCATTATCTTTAGTTAAACCTGCAGTGCAGAACATTTGTCTCCACTTCTGGCAATGAGCGTAATTACACAAACTCTGTTGACATGTGCTTATGAGGGTCAGAAATAGTTACAGAAATACAAAGAATAAGGGGGTCACGTTCTCAACTAACAGATGAACAAGTTAAACTGTTGGAAGGACCTGTTACAATAACAGAAATTGATAAAGCAATCTCCTCACTCCAGTCAGATAAAAGTCCAGGGGCGGATGGATTCTGTGTACAGTTTTATAAAAAGATGAAAAGCAAAATTAACAAACTATTACAACGTGTGTTCAACAAATCATTTGAAGAGGGTGAACTCCCAAAATCTATTTACTTAGCTCATGTTATAGATATTCCCACAAAGGGGAAAGAACTATGTGCTTCTTATTGCCCAATTAGCCTTCTTGGAGTGGGTGTAAAAATACTTTCAAAAATAGTGGCTAATGGACTAGAAAGAGTGGTGACTGATATAGTTAATGCAGACCAAACAGGGTTTATAAAAGACCATACTTTATCAAATAACACAAGACGTTTAATCAATCAGAATCAGTGTTATTGCCAGGTATGTGTACACATACGAGGAATTTGACTCAAGATTGTACATTGCTCACAATGTGCTTAAAATCAGACACAGGCTACAGTGTAGACAACACAAATATACACACTATGAACAAAAAAATATATAGACACATTGATAAATAGTGCAGTGAGCAGAATGCACAGGATACAGGAGTAAAATATTGTTTTCATTATTATGTACATGTCGGAGGTGGATGTGATTTACAGGTGCATACACAAACATGCATACATGTACACATGTATACAGTGTGATGGAGCACCGTGTGATGGAGCACCGTGCAAAGGATGCTGGAATAAATAAGTATTCTTGTGCAGGAGTTATGCTCTTGAGGTAGGTGGATTTAGTATATACAGTATATACAATATGACAACATAAACAGTATGAACATCACTGAAATAGAGAATGGTGAATAAATAATAAGTGTACGCCAGTATACGGGTGGCTAATTAGAGTTATTGCACAGGAGTTGTTCCTGACACTGTGAGTCAGAAATCAGCTGTTCATCAGAGTGATGGCTTGTGGGAAGAAACTGTTCTTGTGTCTGTTGGTTTTGGCGTAGATTATGTCCAAGGTGAGATGGATATGCAGTGATGTTTTCTCCTCGTTTCCTGACTCTGGATATGTATAAGTTCTGAATGGAGGCCAGGTTGGCACAGATGATTTTTTCTGCAGTCCTGACTGTCCGTTGTAGTCTGTCCCTGTCCTTTTTGGTGACAGATCCAAACCAGACAGTGGTGGAGGTGCAGACTGCATGATGGCTGTGTAGAAGTGGATTCCCAGCTCCTCCTAGGCAGATTGAGCTGCCTGAGCTGGCACAGGAAGTACATCCTCTGCTGGGCCTTCTTGATGATGGTATCCGTGTTGGGCTCCCACTTCAGGTCCTGGGAAATAGTGGATCCCAGCAACCTGAAGGATTCCATAGCAGACACAGGGCTGTTGAGTATGGTGATGGGGGGCAGAGTGGGGGGGCTCCTCCTGAAGTCCACGATCATCTCCACAGTTTTGAGCGTGTTAAGCTCCAGGTTGCTCTGACTGCACCAGAAAGCCAGCTGATCAATCTCCCGTCTGTAAGCCGACTCATCACCGTCCCGGATGAGGCCGATGACCATTGTGTCATCAGCAGACTTCAGGAGTTTCGCAGATGGGTCTCCTGAGGTGCATTTGCTGGTGTAGGGGGAGAAGAGCAGTGGCGAGAGCGCACACCCCTGGGGGTGCCAGTGCTAATAGTCTGGGTGCTAGATGTGATGTTCCCCAGCCTCATCTGCTGACTCCTGTCAGTCAGGAAGTTTGTGATTCACTGACAGATGGAGGCTGGCACTGTGAGCTGGGTGAGTTTGGTGCTGAGGATGTCCGGGATGATGGTGTTGAACGCTGAGCTGAAGTCCATAATCGATGTTGTCGTCTTTGTTGTCATGTACTGTATGTCAACTTCTTTGCTACTGCAACAAAACTAATCGTCTCTCGGGGACAAATAAAGGTCTTGAACTTGAACTTGAAACAGGATCCTTGCATATGTCCCTGGAGAGTCTAGGTGTTGCAGGATGTAATCCAGTCCCAAGTTGATATAATATTATTCACTATCTTAATTTCCAACAAACTCCAAGTGCTATAGTAACGATGGATGCAGTGAAAGCATTTAATCATATTGAGCGAAAATACATGCTTGAAGTGTTGAAAAGATTTGGCTTTCAGTCAGATTTTGCTTTTATACAAAATGCCCACTGTCTCGATCTCAATCATTTCTGCCCAATTCCAACTTAACAGAGGTACAGCTCAAGGGTCACCGCTATCACCTCTACTGTTTTCTTTAGCTATAGAGACATTAGCAATTGCTATCCGGCGAAATTCCAATGTTAAAGGAACAGGGATAGGAACAACACAGCACAAAATTCTATTGTACATGGATGATATCCTCCTGATGTTAACAGACCCACCAAACCCACGCTAATCACCTGTGTGAAAGAGTTCGGTCAAGTCTCTGGATACAAGGTTAATTTTACAAAATCTGAAATCATACCTCTCGGTTTATCAAATGAGTATGAACCTGACTTTGTAAAACCCTTTTGTTGGGCACCAGATGGATTCACATACCTGGGGGTTAAAATAACACCTAAAATTAATCAACTTTATGCTGAAAATGTTAACCCCATGGTAAAACACATCAAAGACAAGATGATGAGTTGGAAGAAGATTCCTTTTTCCTTTCTTGGCAAAGTCAATCTTATTAAGATGATAATTCTCCCCAAAATTATTTATCCTCTATCTATGCTCTTCATATCTCTGAAGAGAAACAATAAAGAAGATATAAATAGCTCTCTCTGACTTTATCTGGGCTGACAGAAAGTCTAAATTTAAATTAGATATTCCACAACTAACGAAAGAACAAGGAGGATGGGCCTTAATGCAAGCCAGAATTATCTAAACATGGGCAACTGTTCAACCAAAGCCACCATGGTTTGAAATTGAAGCAACCTTCTCCATACCGTATTCTCCTGTCAACTTACTTGATAAACGCAGGATGAGAACTACCAAGTATGATGAAAGACAATTTTAATTACTTGGAATTCTCTACGGAAATTATTTGTGACTAAACGTAAATTGAGTTGTTTAACAACAATGACTGATAATCCTGATTTAACTAGAGAGGGCACTGGATCTAACTTTCAGAACTAGTATGAAGCAGGAATTTACCATTTTTATGACTTTTGGGATAGGGGAAAATTAAAAGCATTCGATTCATTACAGGCTACATACAAACTACAAACAAAATAATTTTGCAAATACCTTCAGATCAGACTCTATGTATATTCTAAAATGGATACTCTCAATCTTCCAGATGACTTCAACTTACTAGAAAAGACCTCTTTTAGATAGCCTTAGAGAAGGCTACTTTGTCTTCCTAAAGAAATCATGGAAGACTCAGTTGAAAACAACAATAGACACTAAAATATGGGAGGAAATTTTACTTTTACCTTCGAAGATATCCATATGTAACAGATTCAGAGAAATGCAATATAATATCTTACAAAATGTCTATATATCCCCATAGATGTATAGTAAATATACAGCAAGGGCCTCTCCAAACTGCCCAAAATGTAAGAGTATAGCAGGGACAAGCTTTCACTGCCTCTTGGAATGTGAAAAGATTCAACCATTTTGGCAAACTGTATGTGATGAGGTTAGTGTGATAATCAAGCAGCAATTACAGCCTAATCCAATAGTGTGTCTATTGGGATATATCCCTGAATCACTAAGATCATATAAGAATACTGTACACCTTTTGCTTCTGTTGGGCCAAAATGCTGATATGACCGAAAGGGTGGGAGATGAACCTCCTTCACTACATCTGTGGAAGTCTATGATATCAGACTCTGGAAAAACTAAGATTTGGTATCACTTGTCAGAAGTACCTTTTTACAGCAAAGTTTGGCAAAGTGCTCGAGTACCTGGGAACTCAGAGTGCAAATGCCTGAAATGCCAGACCTAATAAGATCATTGCTGTGGGTGTATTCTGGATTTGCTACATATTTCATATAATCTTTATATACACTGTGCTGGACTGTTATAATTTTGAAATGTTCAATAAAAAGAATGTTCAATAAAAAGAATTTCTTCACTTCCAAGACAATAATTCATAATTTAGGTGGAGTAATTGTATTAGCACCATGGCGTACTCCAAATATTTTACAAATACTAACCTGTCTAACAGCAGTTATGCAAAGTCCATTTCTGCCCCCAGTCCCTTCTCTTCTCTCTGCCCTTGGGAAACTAGTCATTACTGGTTGATGGTGCAACAGCGTGGGAAGGTCCCCACAGACACCAGATAAAAAAACTCTGATATACTGCAAAATACAGAGTGATTTAACTGGCGGTTAATCAGCATTGTGTGAACTCGTTTGGCAAGAATTGAGTTTAACAGAAGTTCATTTATATGTAAAAGTCCTGCACTTCAGCTTTAACCTTTTAAACAGTTTATCTTTGACCTTTAGCTAGCTAATGACCGGTAAAGTTATTTCAACTGTTCATTCATCAGTCATCTATTTTACCATTTATCCATTACTTTTAGCTAACTAACTTTTAGATAAATATTTTAACTGTTAATTCATTACTTTAAGCTACCATTTATCTTTTACTTTTTGTGATCTATTTCAACTGTTTAGCCAATATTTTTAGCTAACTGTTTATTCATCACTTTTACTGTTTCAACGTCTCTGCTCACTTGCTAACTAGTTTTCACACGCTCTCAGTTGCAACACCGATGTACAGCTGTTAAAGTTTAATCAATGATGTGAATACATTTTAAAAATTAAATTGTAATTACTCTTTTTTCAAATTAATTAAGCTAAGGTTATGGCACAATCTTTCCACGTAACCCCTGGCAACTAGTTGGGAGTCACTGATTTAGATTTAGATTTAGATTAGAATAACATGGTGGAAAATCTGTTTGTAGAAAATATGAAAATATGGTTTATATCTACCACTTTTTACAAAGCAGTCAGATGTATAACATATACCTTCTACATATAGCCTGTATCTATCTATAATGTAGTTACCTTCACACAATAAAGTCAAATATCAGCAGACAGACACAATTACTATTGTAATTGCTATTAGTAGCTTAGTAGCTTTGTGTTGTGCAGTTTGTGACACTGTACCTCTCTCTGAAGTGCAGGGGATGAGAGCAGAGTGTCACTAACCATCTCCAACGCTTCTCACAAAGACTTGGGCAAGTACCAGTGTCGGCTCACCACTTTACATGGATCAGTCACTTTGGACTACCTGCTCACATATGAAGGTATAAAACATGATTTAACCATAACAACTATCTCAAACATGGACAAGAAAAATGTACAGTTAAAAATGTGTCTCCTTTTTTACTATTTAACAGTGCTCAGTGAGATTGTCATCCCTCCATCTCAAAAGACCATCTCATGTGAGTTGTGATCTTAGAACAAGGTTTATTACGTTACGTTTTAGTTTTTTTGTTTTGTTTGTTGGATTTTGACAGAAAACACATTGTGTCTGTCTCTTTTTTTTCTAGCTGCTCCTGTGCCGGTGAGCAGCGAAGAAGAGGATGTCCACTGTTCCAGGTTGATTTTCAAAGAGGATTTTCTAGCTAACCAATACTTTGGAGAGAACCAGCCTGCCAGCATCATCACTGAAAAGGTTCACTTTGGGGAGGGGATGCACCGGCGGGCTTTCCGGACCAAGCTGCATGCAGGTCACATACCCATGTTACTACCTGGACACTCCTGTGTGCTCAAAGTACACAATGCTATCAGCTACGGGACCAAGAACAACGACGAGCTTGTTGAGAGGAACTTTACCTTGGCTGTAGAAGTAAGAATGTCACAGGACTTTGATGTTGTGCTATGAAGTATAATGGTACAATTTGCATACTTTGGGAACCAAATACTACATTACATGCCATAACACACTTTCTCTGCCACAAAATTATGGAAATAGTTATAATATAACTGTAACACAATTACAGTTTTGTTACCACATTAACCTGTAACGCATGACACATGACACAACATGACAAAATGTTTTTTTTCTGACAGACATGTGCAAGACATTTTGCGACAAAATTACTTTTTTTGTAGAGAAATACCACATAAATGCTCACAAAGAAAATTTGTGCCCCAAAACATAATAGGCAAAATGTGACACGGAGTTAAATTACCCTTTACAAAAACACAGCAGATACTGGCTGGCTTTCCATAGATTAATTATCACTGTGCACTGAGATCTTCTAATGCATAAAGTAAATGTATTGTAATTGACTTTTTGCTCTGTAGGAGTGCCATGTCCAGAACACAGCAAGAGAGTACATCAAGGCGTACACCACTGCAGCCCAGTCTGTTGAAGCCTTCGGAGAAATCCCAGAGTGAGTGATGCATTTCACAAGATTTAAACTTTATCCGCAACAAAACTTTTTAGTATAATGTAAGATTCTCATAGCACAAGCCATTTTGTTTCATGCTTCCACTAGGATCATTCCCATCTACCTGGTTCACCGTCCATCCAATGACATCCCGTACGCCACACTGGAGGAGGAGCTGATTGGTGACTTTGTCAAGTATTCGGTCAAGGATGGCAAAGAGATCAACCTGATGAGACGCGACTCGGAGGCAGGACAGAAGTGTTGTGCTTTCCAACACTGGGTCTACCATAAAACTGAGGGTAACCTTCTGGTTACTGACATGCAAGGTTGGGAAAACATGCAAATATACAAATTCAGAATGTTTTTATCTGCACTTAAAATTACAATTTAGAGTACTAAATATTGTCTGATTTTTTGTGTTTTTCAGGAGTAGGAATGAGGCTTACTGATGTGGGAATAGCCACCTGTAAGAAAGGGTGAGTATATTTTTTGAAGGCGATAATAGATGCAAATTGTTGATACATGCAAATTGTTGTATTAATATTTTATTCATGTTTAGATATAGGGGCTTCAAAGGAAACTGTGCCACGTCTTTCATTGACCAGTTCAAAGCCTTGCACCAGTGCAACAAGTACTGTGAGATCCTGGGCCTCAAATCCCTGCAGCCCAAAGCTAAAAAGCCTGCATCTGCTCCGAAACCTAAACCCCAAACCTCTGCTGCACCAAAGAAGAAATCATTTGGGCCCACAGTGAAGGGCAAGTCATAATAGGAGAAGAATCTTGGGCTACGGTTTTAATTGTTATTGAAATGGTGAGGGTATTGATGATTAGATTCTCTCAAGTTGGACCTCGTCATGCAGAGGTTGGCCTGTAAGGAAGAAAGGTTTTGGGCTGCAGCAGGCCAGTGCATGGAGGAAACACATGCGTTTGACTGAACGGAGCAATCTTTAAGCAACCAGCATCTGTAGTTTCATAAGAGTTTTTGCTTCATCTCATGTTGAACATTTGAGAAATATATTTTAATTTAATGAAGATTTCACCAGAGATTGTTTCTGTATGAGAGAGTATAATCTAGGGGTGGAAACTTTATTTAGTTTTGGGAAAACTGTGACAAATTTAACGAACACTTGAAAATGATGATGAGAATGGTGAGTTTGTCAACAGTGTTGAACTGTGATGTCTTTGATGATTTAGACTTTATTGATGAGTGAGATTTTCATGTTTTTTCTACTTGTTTTCAAAATATTAGTTCATTAAATTAATGAACATGTTGATTAATTGATTGGAGGAAATTTCTTTCAAGTAGGTTGTATGAAAAAATACACACAGTACAGGACATGTATTATTTTTGGTTACACAGTATGAGTGGGTCATTTTTGTTTGGTGGTATTTCATGATCGTGTATTCAGTTCAGTGTTGCATTATTATTATAGTTTGTTCATTTAGTAACGGCACTGATTCAGGATGAGTTTATATTTTTATTCTGGAAACAACACAAAGACATTTTGTACACATAAAGCTCATGTAAAGTAGGCCTTTCAATGTATTCACTGAAAAATGTGAAGATTTATTGATTTGTCATGTTATCTAGGGCAGTTCTGCTTGTTAAATTGATTTCAATTGATTGATTGAATGTCTGGCATCATTTCAAGGATCTATACTTTATACGGTCTAGCTCAAACTAGGTGAAAGACAAATCTGGACCCAGTAATCACACCACACTAACCTTACATCCAGAGCAAAATCTACTTGCATACACAGTCCATTGGATGCTAGCTATGCTAACTGCAATCTCAAACAGTCTTGTATAATAAAACCCTCTGTCTGTCTCTCACTGTTGCCTTTTAAATCCTTGACCCAAATTGCTGACATAGCTCTCAGTTTGTGTCTATGGCCAAGAGTAGATCTTTGATATTAAAGAGAGGTTGCTGGTTGAAGATGCTGTCTATGTGAATATGCAAATATCTGTCTATCTTTGCACATGGGGCTGGGGTTAAAGGTCCTATTTAATTCTTAGGAATGCTTAATGTGCTAAAGTTTACTCTATAGACACAGATAAAAAGCAATGAGTTTATTTACGTCATTTGCATGGATGAAGACAATTGCGCAATCATAAAATATAGCATTATCATAGTTACAATTTGATTGCCTATTCACATGTTTAAAAGGTTTGAATGATGACAACACAAGAAATGACAGCTGCGTGAAAACAAATGGGCCATCTATTCTTACCTATGCTTATAGGAGCAGGTCTCCAGCACCAAATTAGCGCCTCAAACGCTAAAGTAAGTGGGTCACGCTCGGAGGCTCAAGAGCATGCACAATGTATTAACAGTCTGCATATTTATTTTCATCTCTGCCCCTCCTGCATGGTGTAATGTGTCCTAAGCCATAGGCACTACGAACAGACGGGGAAGTGTTGTTAGGACTTACAGTATAAAAAAGGAAACTATTAAAAATGAAAGGGGGGGGGGAATATACAGAAGCCACAAAAAACAAATGGCAGAAAGAAAAAAAAACAACCAATCAGCCAACCGGGAAACTGAGGAATATATCGAGGTCCTTTTCACACTGTAGCTATTTAGTGTGATAATGGCGTTTGATACACATGACACAAACACCATTGTCACACTCCATAGCTCTGGAGGACAGCATTTACTGTAGATTCTGGAGACGGAGAGCCTGATAATAAAAACTTGCGGATGGATGACCTGGTGAAAATAAGTAAAAAAGTCGTTTTGTGATGTGTGGACTCAATAAAGTGCAATGGAGAGATGGAAAGTGAGAAAAGAAACCCAAGTAGAGATAAACAAAGTACACATTGTGTTGGTGTGTGGTGTTCTCTGTGGAAAAAAACAGGCTTAAATCATATTAATGTAGCACTTTAAGTTTGTACTCATCAATATGTTGAAATAAAACATAAATGAAAAGCATTAAAAAAACAAAGAAAATAGGGGAAATAATGCTGAGAAAATACACAACACTTGTCTAAAGTGTCCAAAGTCCGGTCATGTCTTTTTCTACTGATTGTGGGAATAACTGCAGCTGTGTGCATTTGTGTGTGTGAATAAGAGAGTGTGTAAGAGAGAAACAGTGTAAAACAACTAAACAAACTAAACAACTGTGTGATCACCACATAGCAAGCATGTTTGCAAACATTTTTGTAAAATGTAGCTGAAAAATAGAACTGGTTCAGATGGTATGTTACTCTTGATTCAATACATCTTTATTGTTTCTGCTTTATTACATAACATTTCTGAGCTGAAAATGGCACCAAGAGTTTTTTTTACAATCGTTAAATGCATCATTGTTCTTTAATTACCAACTTTACTACTAAAACTGCGAGTTAAAAACATTATTAAAGGTTTCAGACATATAGCAAGACAACAACCAACTCACCTCAAGTTTCTAAAGTTTATCCTCTTTCCATATTCACTTGGTTCATACCCACTGCTGATTCTGCTCCTCCCAGCCACTCTTTTTTCTCTGCTCTGTCTCCGAGTCTTTCCAAACAGTTAAAAGTCCAGTAGTGCGTCCGGAGCTGCAGGTTCATGAGGTGATATGTGGTGCATTTGGGTTTGATGCTGTCCCATCCAAGTCTTTATGTAGACAGAGCAAGGTTTGGACAAACAGCCAGTTCCACATTAGTGATAAGCTAAAGGGGAGGTATTGATCGACCCTGACCAGAGGTAGAGGGGTGGAGGATGGGGAGACCAAAGAAACTGTCCTCGTGAGGCAACAGGGCCTTAATGCACATTTATACAAAAAAGTGTGATGCATATTTTATTTTTCCAACATTTCTACTGTTATTCGTATCTTGACATGCTTATTTTATCTATTAATTATAAACCACTATGTGATGAGCACTTTATTTTTCCCTTAATTGTACATTGACTTGTTCTATGTTTTATATATTTGTCGTTGTACACCACCCTGTGTGAAACAGCTTTTTGTTCGACTTGTCAATGTTTTGCATTGATTGCTGCAAAGTACTTTGTTACCTGTATTGAAAAGAGCTATATGAATAAAGTTATTATAATTATTATTGTTACTTTTGCTCGATGTCAGCTGGGATTGGCTCCAGCCCCCCTGCGAACCTGTACGCAGGATAAGCGGTTGACGATGGATGGATGGATGGATAATTATTGTTACTAACACCAAGGTTTCACTAAAGAGTTGAATTAAAGGGACTCAGGCGATGGTTCATGACAGTAAAATGAACTGAAAATGTATGTAATAAGATCTGGAGTTTAGGGGGTAAAAGTTCAGCAAGGTACACAACCAGCAGGCTGTATCTGGAGTTAAAATGGACACTCAGCAAGTCAACACACTTGCATTTTTGTCATGTGTTTATTCCTGAATTTCTTTCATTGAATGAAATCAAATCACGACAGTACTTCACACAGTGAATGTCCAAATTCTTAGTATTTAATAGTTAGCTAGCTAACAGCTAGCAGACACACTAGAACTAGTTCAGTTTCATAATAAAACCTGTTACTAAGAAATAGCTTCCCTTTTAACAAAAGATCTGTCAACTCTGCTCAGGTTTCAACATCTGAAGCGCTTAAATTAAAACATTCCCAACTAAGAATACTATCTCTAGGGATACTTCTGCATCCAAGATTGTGGATAAACTTAGTTAATATGAAAAGATGTGTGTGTGTGTGTATGTGTGTAAAATAAGTAACTTTTAAAGAAATGCGTTGCTTTCTAATAAATTATTCCGTTAACAGTTATGTTAACATCATTTGCACTTGATGACATTTTTTTCCGAGCAGGTGGAATGTTTTAAAAGGTAGCTCTACAGAAGACTTGGCTCTTGGTTTGTTTGTGACCAGACCGAGGGTAGGAGGGCTTGATAAAATGTCCCCAGACTGGCAGGGCGGCTTTTATTTGCTTGTCCTTGGAGCTGATAACTCCTAGATTGGGATTGTGTGTGAATGAACTGAGGTCCCTTCACCACGCTACATGCGCACACAAAAAGACAGGTAGGGAAAGTTATAAGTTTCACTCATTTCTGAAGGCAGGTTTTCTGAAAATTGATTTCATCAACAAGTATTGGGATGACAGGAAACTGTGCCAAGGTTGGCTGCCTTCAAGAATCCATTTATAATGTGGATGAATTAAAACGATCTCCGTCAGCAGTGAGGACCTGTGGGAGCACACCTTATCTAAAAACTTTGTGACCTCCTGTGAAAGGAATATGCTGGCAGAAGTAAAACCTTCTTCAGATTCCTAGCTATACAACAGCTACACTTATTGGACAAAGAAATTAAAGTCAGAAATTATTAAAAGTACCAGAGCACTGACCAAATATACATTTCAAATCAGTATATTTGAGTATTTACTGGCAATTATACATTTGAAGTCCCTTTTCAGAGTGTTGTATGCATTATATTAAATATTGGTTATAAGGGATGCAGGAATGAAAAATCCCTCATGAATATGTTTACCTCATGATGGAGTCCTATTATGCAGGATAATAAACTGTCCTGCAGGACCTTTTAAAAGCAGAATTAGTACTAGTTACTATTCTTGTTTCTACTTCTGGTATAAGGAAAGTTACAGTCCAGTTATATTAAGTCAAACAACACAATCTGAGGAGTTTTTTTTATTTGACAGAAGTTAAATTAACCACAAAGACTTGCAGAGAGTGGTGGAATCTTTAACAAAAGTGATATTTCCCATCATTCATTTAAAAAAAAGAAAAAAAAAACTCTTTAAAAAAGGACTATTTTTTATTGAGTCTGTTTGAGAGGTGGGATCACGGGAGGGAGGAAGAGAAGAGAAAGAAAATACAGAATACTAAAGGACGTGAAGTCTCCGCTTCACTTTTGTCAACTTTTTCTACCTTAGTAGCAGCACAGATTTACAGACTATTTATATTGCACCAGGTAAGTGCTCCGAAGGAAAAACAAAAAAAAAGAATCACATTCAAGTTAATAACAAAGACAAACAATAGATGACATGACCTCAGAGTGATCTATAAAGTGCCCTTTAGGTTCAATGGTGTTAGAAAAAGGAGAGAGAAACAAAAACATAAAATAAGATAAGAACTTTTTCTTTGTAAGAAATGTGCTGCTTTATATTCAGTGGCAATCACAGCTTTTCTCTCAAACACCCACGCACGCATACAGTTTCATTTTAGTGTTGTTGATCAGTAATACTTCTGTTAAATGTAGTTCATACATATATTTATATATCATGAAAGAACTTAATTTTTTGTTTGTTTTTCCAAGAACAATTTACAGCATTATGAACAGCAACAGGCATGAGAATATTAATATAATAATGATGCAAACATCTCAGAGAAACTATGAGTTTAAGTTTTCGTTTCTTGACCTCGAGACAGATTACACTTCCAAATTACTACCATGTAGTCAAAGCAAACACAAGATACGGTTTCATGCTGCTTTTATAGCACTATTTAAAAAAAACAAACAAAAAAAAAAAAACACATTTGCTATCACCATAACAAATTATATGGATTCATCATTTCCCAGACTAGCCAGATTTACATTTCACACACCATGTCATATAGAACTGTCAAAATAGTAAACAACATAGTTCATCAGTACAAATATGGTTAGAGTATTTTCCTGCAAGAATTATATCAATGATTAAAAAAATCTGTTCCATAATGACAAACTATAAAAAATCATCTTTGGGGATTATTTCATCCCCCCATTCTCGAATCCTTACCAGTGGTTAAAAAAAAGAAAGAAAAAAAAAAGAAATAAATAAACCAAAACATTGTTCTACAAAAGGCTGCAGTGGCGATTTCTGATCACACAACACATAGACAAGGCTCTATGGAGGGGTGTGGCCGATTTCCTGAAATGTGATTGGCTAGCATTCCTAAGGTAATCTGGTGTTGGTCTAAGGATTCGAGAGAGTTGTGATCATAGTGCCATTGCGGTTTCTTAGAGAAATAGTGCATGTAGGAGCCAGATTAAGGCCATGCTAGGACCCTTGCATTAAAGGGTGCTCAAATACTGTGCTATAGTGTACATAAAGGAGCTGTTGAAATGCATTAGTGTTTTCCAGCACTGTAGATTTTCACAGGACAAGGGTAGAGGGGAAAGAAACAGCGGATCAGGGGCCAGCTCATCATTCATAGCTCATGCCTGTGGATAATATATTTCAGCATTCAACGGTGCGTCTGTCCTGTTCTTTCCCAAGCACCTTTAAGGAGTGACCTACCAGCACTGAAAACATATAAAGACATAGGCATATTGGCTCGACAAATCGCTGTACAGTCTCAAACCACCGTGCTGGGGAGGTGGCTGATAGACAAGTATTACAGTACAACATGCTTGCACAGAACTGCTACAGCAGCTGGTTTGACATCCCTGTGGCTTTTTGTTTTGTTTGTTTTTTTATTGTTGGTTGGTTGAATGCAGTCAGAGGCTGCTATTTTAGTCGACTCCCTCGAAGCCCTGTGCGTTCTCCACAGCCATGAGGAGTTTCTCTCTCAGGTCCTCAAAGGATTCGTAAGTGGGCAGATCCAAGCGGTTGAAACTAGGGGAAAAAAGTGTTTGATTAACAAAAAACAACAACTTAACATGGTTTGGTAATTCAAAGTACTTGCTAGCAAGTTAGCATGATGGCTAAGTGGCAATGTCAGTCTGTTGACTCAACAACTACAGGACGGATGAAATTTTGTACAGACATTCATGTTCCTTGGAGAGTGAATTCTAACCGACTTTCATGATCCCCTGACATTTCCTCTAGCACCACTGGCAAGTCAAAGTTTTCGTTAAATGTTCATTTATTTTGTGAAATATCTCTACAAGCACTTGATGAACATTTGGTACAAACATTCGTGGACTATGTAATTTAGTGACTTTGATGATCCCCAGTCTCCAGAAGGTAAACTTTTTAATTTGTTATTGACCACATACCATCAAGCTCAGTTGTACTTTCGTTTAGTGCCAATAAGAAAATGTTAGCGTACTAGCATGCTACACTAATAGGGTGATCATGGCAAACATTACTCCTGCTTAGCATGAGCATATTAGCATTGTCATTGTGAGCATGCTGATGTTAGCATTTAGCTCAAAGAACTGCTGTGACTAGTACCAAAGTCCTTATAGGCATATAGACATACCACGTGTGAGCTCTTGGCAACTTATCTGGTGTTCCCCACTGCTCAATTGTGAACAGCTGCGGCCCATTAGAACCTGTAACAAACAATAACAACAAACTATGATGACACAGTTGAGATGTAGGAATACTTTCATTAAATCACAAATTTAATCTCTAGGTAAATTCATTAGGTATGGAAGGACAGCATTTGGCCAATTATTGTATTTTACGTAAATAATTTAAAATATTTCCCATTTTTAGTGATTCAATGATTTTAAAACCTCATACATAAATCTATAGTATCTATAAAATCTTAAATAATCTTATATTTCTGAACATTCCTCATCTGTTATACACATTATCTATCTCTATGTATACAGTGAGTTCTGGGAACTGTAACTATTGGCTCATCTTTTCACAGAAAGCAATTTTTGTCACTAGTACATGACGCTTAGGACTTGCAGTTTAAACAGATAATCCAGTAAATTATTTTAAAGACCTGGTAATGTTATATAAGCAAGAAATAAAAGGAAACCTAAGGTAACGTACCATAAAGCTCGGCAAAGCCATTCATGGGCACTCGTGACGTTCCCGTTACA